TGACTGACTGACTGACTGACACGAGGCCAAACCTGGCATCTCTCCGGCGACCCGTCCAGCATCCAACATCCCATCAACATCATCATCATCACCAAAGCTGCCGCTTGGCTCAGTTGCAACTCATCAGCCGACGCAGGCCCCGTGCACACTACGTGCGTCTTGCGATTCTCAGCCGCCCGCAATTCCACACTAGTGAAGCTCGCTGCTGCCACGAGCAACGAATTCGTGATCCGAGCAACTCTGCAAGTGCGCGCATCCGCAAAAAAATTCAGTCGCGCAGCCTCACCGACCAACACACTTCCACCCCGCATCATCGCCATCGGGGTTCGACCACATTGAGGTCGTCGACGCCTGCTTCGGCATCCGTTTCAATTAAGCAGTCGGCCAATTCAAAACAATGTCCATGTATCCCGCCCATCGAGGCATGGGGGGTGTGCCCCCTGGCAATGGCGGAGGACGTCTCAATGAGCTCCTCGACCAGATCCGCTCCGAGTTCGAGAGCCAGTTGCGCACTAGCGAGACCTATGAGCATCAGAGTAAGTAATTGCGTTTCAGGAACATCTACTCGGCGCCGCGCCCTGTGTCGCCGCAACACTCCACAGTCCTTCTCTGATTGATCTACTAACAGGATACCTAGTCCAAGCGCAGGTCAACGAGATGCAGCTTGTCAGAGAGAAGGTCTATGCCATGGAGCAGACTCATATGACTCTCAAGCAGAAGTAAGTCTCAAGCCAATCGTGCTAAGCCATTGGGAAGTTGGTCTAACCAACGGCTCTTCAGGTATGAGGAGGAGATCGCCCATCTCCGTCGCCAACTCGATCAAGCCAGAGGCGGTGCGCCGCAAGGTGCTTTGAGCGGACCCCCTCAGCATGCTGGACCTCAGCAGCCTCCTAATATTGGTATTGGAAGCAATGTCTTCGGCGCCATCATGTCGGGCCAGGGCGGACAGGGTGGCCCTATCCCTCCACCCCCACCTCCTCCTCAGGAGCAGCAGCCGCCTCCGCATGCGATCCCGCAGCCACCCCCGGGCCTCCAGGGACCGCCGCCGCCTCCTCCCCCGCCGTCGCAGCCCCCTTTCCAGGCCCAATACCAGCAAGGACCGGCGCCGGGCGGCTTCCCATCTCAGCCTCCCCAGAGCACCGCTTCTCCCGGCCCGGGAAAGCGAGGAGGAATTGGTAGACCGCCAGCTGGCGGTCCTGCCACTCCTCAGATCAACACTCCAATCCCATATCCCGGCCCAGGCGCCTCACCCCAGGTGGCTTCTCATCCCACCCCTGACCACGCCCGCATGGCCCAGCCGCATCCTCCTCCTAACAACGCACTTGGCGACCTGGATCCTGAGCGCTTGCCGGCCCACTTCAAGAAGACTAGAGATGATTGGTTTGTCATCTTCAACCAGGCTGTTCCTCGTCTCCTAGATGTCGATCTAGTTCACACTCTGCAGCACGAAAGTGTCGTATGCTGCGTGCGTTTCAGTGCTGATGGCAAGTATGTTGCAACTGGCTGCAACCGATCAGCTCAGATCTACGACGTCCAGACTGGTGAGAAGCTCTGCGTTCTCCAGGATGAGACGGTCGATGTCGGTGGTGATCTTTACATTCGAAGCGTCTGCTTCAGTCCTGATGGCAAGTATCTTGCCACTGGAGCTGAGGACAAGTTGATCCGAGTAAGTGCAAACTGTTTTGATCGTCAATTCAATCCACTAACAAATTTTTAGGTCTGGGACATCCAGACCCGCACGATCAGGAACACTTTCGGTGGTCACGAGCAAGATATCTACAGCTTGGACTTCGCTAGGGATGGACGTACCATTGCTTCAGGAAGTGGCGACCGTACAGTTAGGCTGTGGGATATTGAGACCGGATCGAGCATCCTGACTCTGACCATCGAAGACGGCGTCACTACAGTCGCAATCTCCCCCGACACGAAATATGTCGCCGCTGGCTCTCTTGACAAGAGCGTCCGTGTCTGGGATATCCAGCACGGCTATCTGGTCGAGCGCCTCGAGGGCCCTGATGGCCACAAGGATAGTGTTTACTCCGTGGCTTTCTCGCCCAACGGGAAGGATCTAGTTAGCGGTAGTCTAGACAAGACCATCAAGATGTGGGAGTTGACTACTCCCCGTGGCCTGTCGAACCATACGGGCCCTAAGGGTGGTCGATGCGTCAAGACCTTTGAAGGTCACAGAGTGAGTTTCCCCGCACATAGTTTGCAAGTATTAGTCATGAAGCTAACAGTTTACAGGACTTCGTTCTCAGCGTTGCCCTGACCCCTGATGCCCAGTGGGTTATGTCTGGCTCTAAGGATCGTGGAGTCCAATTCTGGGACCCACGCACTGGAAACACCCAATTGATGCTCCAGGGTCACAAGAATTCCGTCATCTCTGTTGCTCCCTCTCCGACTGGAGGTTACTTTGCCACTGGATCTGGCGACATGCGTGCTCGTATCTGGTCTTACACTCGCATCCATGGCGCTTAGGGAAGTTGGTGACGAGAGTGTGCTGCTCGGTGGAAGCTATGGACGCAAAGAGGGGTGGAGACTTGAGACTTGTAGGGAAGCGATCCCGAACTGGGTAGGCGTAAAGGAAGAATAAGAGATTCTGGGCTCTGGTTAAACCGGGTTGGGAACCACCAGCTTGGTTGTCTTATTGGGGCAGGGATTTCTTGTACGGAAGGCTAAACCATGTATTTCGATAGGTAATGAACAATTGTGGCTCGTTTATTGCATTTACTTACAGCGTGGAACAAGTTTTGGAAAAGCCATCATGGTATCAACTTAGCTCAAATGACCTGTTGTGGGTGTGAGAGAAACCGCCTCGGTTACAAATACTTTAGTTATTCTCGATATAAGTAACACTACCAATTCATGATTTGGTTCTTATGTACGCTACTGCTACATCATTGTCATTCATGGAACTAAACTGAATGTAGTCCTGATATGCTTATTTTTGCCCGTTCTGAAGGGTCTTCCAGTAAAGGAGAGACAGATCTAGCTCACTTCACAGGAGTGAGCTGAAGAGGTCATCAAATTCATCGCCCTTCCTCTTCTTCTTTTTCTTCTTATCCTTCTTCGGCCTACCCGCGTCCTTGGGGTCCAGCGGGGCTGTCTCTTGTAATCCTTTTGACTTGGACTTGGCGGTCATTCCCTCGCTCTTTTCTGACGGTACTGATGCCTGGCTAGAATCGAGGACTTCGTCACGGGAGATGGCAACTCCAAAGTCATGGGCTTCTCCCTGTGAAGCTCCTACATCTGAAATAGCGGAGGGCGTGCACTGCGTGCTCAGCTCAGCGTCAAGTGGAGATTGCACCGTTGCTGCGACAACTTCAGTTGGGACCAAAGGCGACATGGCTGCCTCGATCTGAGCTAGTACGCCCAGTAGCACCAGCCCAAGGGGCGCGTACTGGTTGTCTGCGGCCAGCTGAGTGAACGCCCTGGGTCAATCATCAGCCTGCGCTATCCTCAAGTCAAAACCATGTATCTGAGAACTCACATGAACGTCCGCGGAGCAGCGTGCTCATGAAGCCATTGCGCTCTCGCTCTCGCCGCCTCAGCTGCCTTACTGCTGCCGCCTTGCGCCTTGTCGGCCGTCTTCCGGCGCTTCGAGCCACCTTTCCGCTCAATATCTCGGATGCCAGCGTCCAGCTCGGGGACGAGCTTGCGCACGCCGCGCCGCAGCATATCAAACTGAGCCCACCATCGCGAGGAGTGGTGTTGGTTCTTGTTGCGGTGGTTGAATGCGTCGAGGATCTGGAGCGCTGGTCTGAGACGGTCGGCTGCGGCCTGTAGAGTCTCTACATCGCTGGGATGTTTGTTGGCCATCCGTCTCAGTGCTCAAATCGGCTGAAGAACCATCACCGCGAGCAGCTGCTAGTGAGAAATTCTGCGCATTGACTCAATAAAGACTTGTTGCAAATACTAGGCAATCAAAGATCATGTGTGCTGCTTACAAGTCATGCAGACGATGTACGCTGGCAGATTGTGTATCTTCAAGTGTAAAGTTGTTGTGTGGTGAGATCTTGATCAACTTGAAGTCTGACAGAAAATACCGTTGAAGAGAAACGGCCTGCTTTCTTCCCTGTCTTTTGAATGAGACTTTGCTTAGGTCGAGGAATGTAAAGAAGGAACAGTAGAGGAGAAACAGTCAGTCAGTCATTGGATTCGAAGCTAGAGATACAGTGCGACTTCCGGTATACCTTAATAGAGGGAATTCTAAGCGGGAGAAAGAAAAAAAAAACTCTCCCGCCGCCTGCGGGTCCCGGCCGTGACAAGGCCGTATACTAACCACTATACTACGGAAGATATTCAGAGGTAGGCCTCTGTCGTAGTTTTGGTTGCTTGTTAGAAGAGTGTACTCTAATGAAGACAATATAGTTTTATATCAAAATAATTCTTGTAAACAGCTCTTCCCATTATTCTGGACATCCTTAATTGAAAAGGTGTTAACTCTATCTACCTAGGTATCCCTCAGCTAGATATTTTCAGCACTCTGCTATATAATACACAATATAAGCCTTAGAAAATCTCCTTGTAGAGGGTATTCTAGGCTAACAAAAGCTCTTGTTAGAAAAACAAAAACTGTTACACAAACTACATATGAGAGAAAATAATGAAACAGGGTAGCAGACACAGAATTCCGCTTCTACTTCCATTCCTTTCTTTATAATACCCACAACCTTATAGCTCTAGACCTATTTCCTCTTCGCTCCCGCGGCATTTTCGCTATTGGTCATAATACGATATGCCTGAGATGAAGGCACGAAGGCAATGAGAATAAATGAGTGAGGGCCCCTGATGAGCGGGCACCGAGTGTTGACTTGAATTATTGACAAGATCAAGGTTCGTTGAAATCAATGGCTGGTGGAACATAAATAAGCCCGCCAGCGACTTGGCTGGGTCGGTGCGCGTAGGCCAGGTGGGCGAATCAAAAATGGCAGGCCAGACAGCGACACGAACTGCGGGGGAGGGGTTCCGCCAGCCAGGGGGGGGGGGGGAAAAACCAAAAAACTTCGCTGAGGTGCACTTAGACCCGTCGTAGACAAGATGGAGACCAGAGCAATGTGGTTCTCGCAACGTTCGCCTTGAAGCAAAGACACAGGTTGTTGTCCCAATTGGCCCAATCCTTCCCTTCTCTCCCCTTCGCCATGTCGATCCAGTCTCTCCGTATCCTCCTCATCGGCAACGGGGGCAGAGAGCACGCCCTGGCCTGGAAGCTGAGCCAGTCGCCCCGCGTCGAGTCCATCATCGCAGTCCCTGGCAATGGCGGCACCGCGACCTGCCCCAAGGTGACCAACAATGCCGCCGTGTCCGCAGATAACTTCCCTGCCCTCGTCGCGCTGGCGCAGCAGAGTCGTGTGAACCTTGTCGTCCCGGGCCCCGAGGCTCCCCTTGTCGACGGCATCGAGTCCTACTTCGCCAATGCGGGCATCCCCTGCTTCGGCCCTTCCATGGAGGCTGCTCGCATGGAGGGCAGCAAAACCTTCTCGAAAGACTTCATGAAGCGCCACAACATTCCAACAGCCGCATATGAGAACTTCTCCGACTACAACAAGGCCAAGGAGTACATTGACTTGGTGCAGCATGACATAGTCATTAAGGCGACCGGTCTAGCAGCGGGCAAGGGTGTTATCATCCCCACCACCAAGGAGGAGGCTCATGAGGCGTTGAGGCAGATCATGCTGGACAAGGCGTTTGGCACTGCTGGCAACGAGGTTGTCATCGAGGAGTTCCTCACCGGCGACGAGCTGAGCATTCTGTCGTTCTGCGACGGCTACACGATCAAGTCGCTCCCGCCGGCGCAGGACCACAAGCGCATCTTTGACGGCGACCAGGGCCCCAACACCGGCGGCATGGGCTGCTACGCTCCTACTAACATCGCGACCAAGGAGCTCATCGAGCGCGTTGAGCGCGAGATCCTGGAGCCCACCATTGCTGGGATGCGCAACGAGGAGTACCCCTTCAGGGGCGTCCTCTTCACCGGGCTCATGATCGGCCCTGCTGGACCCAAGGTCCTGGAGTACAACGTTCGCTTCGGCGACCCGGAAACCCAGACGGTTCTCCCCTTACTGTCCGAGGACACTGATCTTGCTGAGGTCATGCTTGCATGCGCCAAGGGCTGGCTCAGCAAGGTCGATATCAAGGTGCAGCCCAAGTTCAGCGCCACCGTCGTGGTTGCTGCTGGCGGCTATCCTGGATCATACGCCAAGGGCACTCCGATGAAGGTTGACACGCCCGCCCCAGGCAGCGGGATCACCGTTTTCCACGCGGGAACCAAGCTAGTTGGAGAGGAGCTGCAGACCGCAGGCGGCAGAGTCATTGCTGCCAATGCCACCGGAGCAACGCTCGAGGAAGCTGTTGCGAAGGCTTACAAGGAGGGCATCAAGCTCATCAACTTCGAGAGCATGTTCTACCGCAAGGATATCGCTCACCGCGCCTTCCGAAACCAGGCACCTGCTGCGAGAGAATCCCTTACCTATGCCCAGGCCGGCGTCAGCATTGAGGCTGGCAATGAGCTCGTGGAGCTTATCAAGAAGGCCGTCAGGGCAACGAGGCGGCCGGGTGCAGACGCTGAGATCGGTGGCTTTGGTGGTGAGGTCGATCTCGCTGCTGCTGGCTATGCCAACGCCCCGGTCATCGTCGGTGCCATTGATGGTGTTGGCACGAAGCTGATGATTGCCCAAGCTATGGAGAAGCATGACACGGTCGGCATTGATCTAGTTGCGATGAACGTCAACGATCTCGTTGTCCAGGGCGCCGAGCCCCTGATGTTCCTGGACTACTACGCATGCAGCACGCTCACCCCCGCCGACGCCGCCTCCTTTGTTCAGGGTGTAGCTGCGGGCTGCCAGGACGCCAACTGCGCCCTTGTGGGTGGCGAGACGGCCGAGATGCCGGGTATCTACCACGGACAGGACTACGACGCAGCGGGTGCCGCTATTGGCGCCATGTATGCCAACCAGCGTCTTCCCAAGATTGACGCCATGGTCGAGGGAGATGTGCTCCTCGGCCTAGCATCAAACGGTGTTCACTCAAATGGTTTCTCGCTGGTCCGTCGGATCGTCGAGAAGACCGGCCTATCCTACTCAGACCCCGCCCCTTGGGACTCAAAAGCCACTGTTGGCGAGAGCCTCCTGACGCCCACGAGAATATACGTCCGACCCTTGCTAAAGGCTCTTTCACAGACGCAGGCCATCAAGGGTCTTGCTCACATCACAGGCGGTGGATTCACGGAGAACATCCCCCGCATGCTTCCCAAGTCTCTTGCTGCAGAGGTCGACGTGGGCGTGTGGGATGTGCCGGCCGTGTTCAAGTGGCTCAAGAAGGCCGGCAACGTGGCGGCGGTGGAGATGGCGCGCACGCTGAACAACGGTGTTGGCATGGTCGCAGTTGTGTCCAAGGACGAGGCTGTCAAGGTCACTGAGATCCTAGAGTCAGCAGGCGAGAAGGTCATCCAGATGGGCAGGCTGATTCCCCGGTCTGGCGAGGGCTGCGTCTACGTGAACCTCGATAAATGGGAGTAAGGGATCGCGTAGAGGCATTGGTATGAAAAATGGAATAGACGGGTTTGTCATAGCATTTGGTTTTTGAGGGCGGGTGAAAATCACTTTTGAATTTCTATGGGAGATGGGCGATTCGCATTATATCTGGGACCTCTATGGTTCTACATGAATAATCTACAATCGAAAAAGACCTTGTTGATATATGTTGATACATGAGCAAGGCGAACATCTCATAGCAATTGGGATCGATCAAGTGCTCAATGCAAGCATCCTGTAGGACTACGATACACACCTGTCAACCAGTTTGGCGGCAAGTGACGGTAAGCTTCGCTTGACTTACAGGTTCGCTTATACCAGTGGGTAGCAGATCACGGGGAAAGGGAGAGCCCGCAGTGGCAAAAGAACACGATGATATCGAAAACTCTGCAACCTGCTGCGGGTGCATGAGAGAAGAGATAGGAACAAGGATCAGATACTCTCGAGACTACCTACCTAGTAGTTGCCGTACTATGTGAGGCGATGGCTGCAGCACACTTACATGGTATGCGGCTAGCATATCTGCTAGGTGCCGTACCCCCAGTGGCTCACATGGGCAGCAAAAAACTTGCAGATTGCAGTGGAAACACGAGATGGGTGCAGCAGCCAACCACCGCGCCTAGCGCTCTGGGGATGGATATCAATATGGAAAAAATCTGAAGAGAGAGGAGTCTGGGCGCTGGGAAGATTCAAGAAGAGAAAGAGAAAAAAAAAAAAGGATTTTCCACTTGCCGGCTCTATGCGAGGAAGGTGTTTCTTTTCGAGATCAGCAGCAGGGATCTGTCAAGCATAGAATGTTCTCGGATCGCTCAGAAACTTGGAGAGGCTGCATTCTACTGTAGACTCGCACCTACTATGCAGTAGATAGTTTCGAGTGCTGTGCTGTTGTTTCGCCCGAAGCCGAAGGAATCCTCACCTGAAGACAGACCCCGCCATTTGTGCCCATTGTCCAATCGTTGATCACGGCCGTGGTGAAGAGTCGCTGTCTATCGCGATTAGCAACCTTGGAAGGCTTTTCCTGATCACCATCACCAGAGCCCCACCATTCCAGCTGGACCTAAAGATAGAAGATACATTCCTGCAGCAAGCGAATCAAGGCAAAGTCTTCGTCTTCCAACAGTATCGCTTGGAGTATCTCCTAACAAATGCACTCACGCTGTTGATGCCTCTGTCTTTTCTTTCCTTGCAGAAAGGTGTGTGACCACTAAACTGAAGAGAGTAGTCTGCTCCACCACCTGCACTGCAGTTGCATCTGGGCGCATACATAGCAAGGTATCCAGACCTACTGAGCAGTACCTAGGTAAACTGACTGACCCTTGGCTGGCGGCCCTCCCAAGCTCTCCGTTCTCTGCGCTACCTCACGAGCCGCCCCAGATTTGATGTAGCATGATGTAGTTTGGCGTCGTAGCTCCTGTTAACGTTCGTTATCTATAAGGCAGGTAGTCAAGCCACTGACTGTCGGACCCGGGACTTGATTGTCTATCGCGTGTGATGCTCTTCACATTTTTCGCTCTTCAGCTTTTCTCCAATCTCCCTGCGTACTGATTCTAGAAGTTCTTGCATTCCATGCGAAGAACATTTGCTACGCCGTAACACCTACCTACCGGAGTCTACCTTGTGCTAGTCCTCGCCCCCCTACATGCTATCGTGAAGTCTCCTTCTCGTGCCCAGTGCCAAGGAACCTGCTTTGACAGAGACTTTGCTCAACGGCCAGCAGCACTTCTCAAGCAACTGTATAGCCTGTGAGGTCTCCTCAGTGGTATCTCGCGCCCCATGTCATCCAGAAACCCCTCGACATGGGACGAGTACGACCGCGGCGGCTCTCCGGACAGGACCGGTAGTATCTCTTCCACCGGCGGCCGCAGCGTCCAATTCGACGATGATTCCTACCTCGACCAGGCCCCGGACGGCGAGGGGCAAGACACTGAATGGCATTCGAACCTCAGACGAAGAAGGTAGGGGACCCTGCTCTGGACTGGCCTGTAGACCTGAACCTGTTTCCTGACACTGAGACATCTAGATCCTCGGTCACTAGACATCTCGCCGCCCTCACAGATCTCGGAGGCGTGAACAGCATCCGGTCCTTCACCCGAAGCTGGCAGCGAGCCGCCGCTTTCGCCGAGGTCATCCCCCAGCGGCCGTCGTTCGTCTTCGCCCCCGACCAGGAGCCCACCACCGCACCGGAGACCATCCAGTATGGCCGCGGCGACGTCGAGCGGGGCCAGGTCCGGACGTCCCTGCTGCGAGAGCACCTCGAGGCCTCGCCGTCCGAGAACGCCATCGACGACGACGGGAGCTACCAGGCCGGTGCGAGCGACGAGCCCCTGCTCCAGCGCGACGGCAGCGTCGACTTCCGGGACAGAGAGCGCAAGGCGCTGAGCAATGAGCTCGGGAGGTCGTTCTCGGTCAGCAGCGGCGCCAACTCCAACTCCATATTCGCTATTCCGCCCCATCTGGCCACGCCTCCGCTGATAGGTAGCTATGGCTCTTATAGGAGTTATGGGACCATCGAGAGCGATGTTAGCCGGGAGTCGATGGCTCATGCTGGTGCTCTATGGCGGCAGCAACAGGAGGCTGGTGCCAATGTTCCCGATGGAGAGGTGGAGCCTATCCTGGTGAAGGAGGTTGAGCAGGATGGCAAGATTATCCTTGCCGTCGAGGGCCAGTCTACTCTCCCACAAACCATCTTCAACTCTACCAAGTATGTCCTTCGTCTCCTGGTTAGGGCGTGCTTCACCAAGCTAACAACTCTCCAGTGTTTTGATCGGCGTCGGTCTTCTCAGCTTGCCAATGGGTATCAAGTATGCCGGCTGGCTATGCGGGATGGTCATTCTCTTCTTGTCAGCAACCGTGACGGCGTATACCGCCCGCCTTCTGGCAAAGTGCATGGACCTAGACCCATCCCTGATCACCTTCTCCGATCTCGCCTTCATCTCCTTTGGGCGTAACGCGCGTATCGCAACGAGCGTGCTCTTCACCCTGGAGCTGCTTGCTGCCTGTGTGGCCCTCATTGTGCTTTTCGCCGACTCCCTGGATCTCCTGTTTCCCGGCATCCTGACAGTGACGGAGTGGAAGGTGATCTGCGCGATACTTATGATACCCCTGAATTTCCTGCCTCTGCGATTCCTCAGCTTCACCAGCATCATTGGCATTCTCTGCTGCTTTAGTAGTAAGTCCCATACATTTCAGAACATGGACCATTGGTGTAGCTAATCATTTTTATTCAGTTGTGTTGATTGTCATCATTGACGGGCTCATCAAGCCGCATTCCCCCGGTTCTCTCATTGAGCCCGCAAAGACATACTTATTCCCCGACAACTGGCTGACCTTGCCGCTGTCTTTTGGGTTGCTCATGTCTCCATGGGGTGGGCATAGTGTGTTTCCCAATGCAAGTCACTTTCCGAGTAGCTACCTAGAGCCGGCGTACTGACAATACAACAGATTTACCGAGACATGCGGCACCCGTACAAGTACAACAGGGCAGTGAAGATTACGTTCTCTTTCACAGTACGTAAATACCTTGCCATGTATGAAAACCCTGAGACGCTAACACGAGTGTTTCCAGTACCTGCTAGATGCGACCACTGCGGTAGTAGGCATTCTCATGTTCGGAGACGGCGTGATGGACGCCATCACATCCAATATCCTTTCGACATCAGGCTATCCCCGCGTGCTGACCTTCATCGTGTGCGCGCTGATCGCCATCATCCCGCTCACCAAGATCCCGCTCAACGCCCGACCCATCATCAGCACCGCAGAGGTGCTTCTGGGGCTGCACCAGCAGACCGTCTCTGACAACACGGCCCTGACCGGCCGGAGCATGTACTTCAGGGGCGTCATGAAGATCGTCATCCGCGTGGCCACCATCGTCGTGTTCCTCGTCATATCCATCCTGTTTCCGGCATTCGACAGCATCATGGCGTTCATGGGCAGCGCGTTGTGCTTCACAATCTGTGTTACGTGAGTCTGCTACCTTACTATCCCCCCCCCCCCGAAGTGATCAGTATCAGTCATGCTAATGTGTCGTCGCCTTCCCTTAGTCTTCCCGTGGCGTTCTACCTCAAGCTCTTCGGCCATGAGATCTCGCCCAGGGAGAGGATCATGGACTACATCATCATCACCATCTGCGGCACCCTGTCGCTCGTCGGCACCGTCTGGGCCTTCTTACCCAAGAGCCTGATCGGTGCCGAGTAAAAAGGCAAGGGAGTTAATGTACATCTGCCACATTCGCCCTAGAGAGAGGCTGGCAGTGGCGACTCGATCTAATGATAACATGACGGCCGGTATATACGGAGAGATACAAAGATTGGCCTTGCCATTTTACGTTGCATTGCATTGTTTTCTCGCATCTACCTTTGGATTTTCGGTGGCGGTTCTTAACTTGATTGGGGGCGTCTGTCTGTGTGCATGTAGCTAGTTAGCTGGCTGGCTGGCCGTTTGTTGCATTTTCACGTTCCTTATATATATATTATATACATACATACACACAAATGAATACCATGAACACTGTCCAACGTTGTACGGACCTTGAACGGTTGTGGATCTGGTCTTACCCTGCGTACATTGCTCAACCGTCCCAGCACGGCACCGGTTCCTTGCCCGGTGCACTCTGCATTGCACTGCATGTGGCACGAGGTCTCACGTCGAACCTCCCGAGTCAGCTTCATTCTCTTGGTCAACTCACATGGCACGATCGAATTGTAACTAGTAACTGTAATATGAGTGGGTAACTTCTGGTATTGTGTCACTAATGATGGAGATATCTAATACACAGAAAGCGAGTTACGCTAGATCATGTCCCATCCAGTTGAATGCCGAACCTCTGGTTTGCCGTTCCAGTTTGAATCCAAAGCCCAATCTTCCTCACAAGCCCCATTGCCATGCAATGCAACCTAGTAGTAGTAATTTCCTTCTTTCCCAACGCAAAACCCTAACAAAGACACTCTCTATACGGCAAACAAGAAGGTTAAACAAACTGAATCAGCCATCGGCCCCAGCAATCAATATTGGTGAGGTGATGCGACATGATAGCCCAACTACAAGTGGCAGGCCGGCGTCAGAGGACTCAAGACTGAGCCTCTTGCCAGCCACCAACCCACTCGACATCACCGAAATCGGGGCGTCTCTCCCTACGCCAAGTCCAATCTCGTCCCTTATTCCAAGGGCAATCCTTAACCTTGTCCCGAGAATTCCATTTGCTAATCTGGTTGTGATGATTGTTGAACGAATAATTGTTGTTGTGGTGTGAAGTGGTGGTAGACGTAGAAGAATTATAATGATCCCAAACTCCATGCCCGAAAGAAGTGTAACTAAATTCATTGCTGACCTGACGCCCTGTCTTGAGCGTGTACTCTGGGGACTTGCTAGATGAACCCGTGAATGCTCGGCGTCGCTCACCCAATGCCGCCCACTTGTCAACTGTGCTGCGCTTGGATGGGGGTGAGTAGCGCTGAGGAAGCTGAATCTTGGTAGAAGATTCGTCATGGAAGAAGAAGCCATCCGCGACGAGGTCGTCGTCGATGTTGGTGGCAAGTGCCTCATCCATAGAAGGAACGCTGGCCTTGGCATTCAACGTAGAGGCCTTGACAGTAGGCGACAGGCCTTGACGGGGAGTGTTGTCATCCGTCTTACTCTCCTGGCTCCAGGTTCTAGCATTGAGCTGCTTGAGAGCTTGAAGCTGGCGAGCACGTTCCTCTTCCTCCTCCTCGACATCCTCTTCCCACAGGTCGCTCCAGCTCTTCGACACACCTTCCTTGCGGCCGAAGACGAGGGACATGGCGGGCTGACGAGGCTTTGACATCGTAATCGGAAGTGAGCCAGCCATGGGCGAGACTTTGGCAGCAGACCTGGATGGAATAGCCGAAGGTCGGCTGATGGCGAGAGACTGCATAGAGGCACCGAGGCTAGAGTCAAGAACAGATGAGATGGAAGGCGTCTGCGCGGAGAACCAATCGGTTGCCGTTGTTGCCTCGGACTTCGAGAAAAGATCCTCGCTGTAGCTTTCATTGTCCGGAATGACACTGAGCTGACGGACCGGCTGAGCAGGGTTGGCCTGTAGAGCCTTGGCCCAGGGGAAGGCACCAGTGTCGACCTGAGGACTCTGGATCGAAGGAGTGCGCAGGGGTTCGCGATTGGCAGTAGCGATGTTTGTACGCTCAGCACAGCAGAACTCATCAATGTCTTCTTCAAGGGTAGTGAAGCTAACGACACGGCGGAGAGCATCGCGAGCACCGACAAGAGATCGCTTGCTAGGATCGAGGTTCATGCACTGGACAATAACCTCGTAGGTATCCTGGGACATCGACGGGAAGACGTCGAAAAGCGATTGCTTGTCTCGAGAGAAGTCCAAGAAGAGCGGATCGGCCTCAGTCGGAGTGGTGAACGGGTTGCGCGAGAAGAGAATGTTCAGGAGGCAGACGCCGATGGCCCAGATGTCTGCCTGAGCTGGGGAGTAGCCAGCTCCAGCCGAGTCATACTGTTCCGGTGACATGTATCGGTCGCTGCCCACAGTTGTCTCATAGGTCCACTTATCGGTAGTAGCTAAGCCGAAGTCACCCAACTTCATGGATCCAGATTGGGTGAGAAAGATATTCTCTGGCTTGATATCCCGATGATAGATACCCTTCGAGTGAATGTAGGCAACAGCGTCGACCAATTCCAGCATGAAACCACGCACATGCTCTGTCTCCAGAGGCCCCTGGCCAACACGAATGGCCTCGTAAAGGTCACCCTGCTGGCAGAATTCCAGAACCAGGTAGATGTGAGCGTCGGTCTCAAAAGAATGAATCAGGTTGACGATGTTGGAGTGACGACCAAGGCGGCTGTGAAGAACAAGCTCTTCGGACTTCTCGTCGACGGCAAAGTCGATCGTGTACTCGTCCGCGGCCGACTTCTTCGTCAGGCACTTGATGGCGACAGTCTCATTCGTGAGAAGATCCTTTGCCATAAAGACCATGCCGAAGGAGCCATGATTGAGAGGAGAAATGGTTTCGAATCGTCCATCGAGGACAACTCCGGGAGTGAACCTGTCCCGCAAGCAAGCCATCGCAAGCGAAAAGGCCAAGGAGAATTAAGTAGTGTGTGGTGCGGATTATGTGTGGAAGGTTGGTGTTACAGTCCTCAAAATGCTTTTCACCTCCCGACCAGTCTATGATGATGTGTGTATCCCCGTCTTCAAAACACAAGAGTGCAACTTTTTTTGTAATCTTTGTGTACAAGGTCTTGACGACGGAGAATCGGAATGAGGTGTGCAGGGGAAAGTTGAATATGGCGGTTTCCGGTGAGACAAATCCGGATAGTCGATGTTGAGGTCAGAGAGAATTGGTGACAGTAAGGATATACACGCAAGGTCGCAGAGAAACACAGGCAACTCCCAGATCGTTAAAATTCAGAGGCTCATCGATGGGTATTTCAGATGGTTGAACAACAAATGAACAAGAGCGGTTTCGATAGGTCGTGAGGATCGACGGGACCAAAAGTCCAATGACAGAATAAACAAAAGGAAGGTCGTTAGGATAGCATCAGGACGGTAGTAATTTGTATAAAAGAATGTTTGTTCAAAGGCAAAGCCTCGAGGGATGAAAGGGTTGTTGGAGCGAAGCTGTGAAGTCGAAAGTGACAAGCGAGTTCGGCACAATCGTCGAAAGGGGTTGATTTACGTCTCGGAGAGAGGTAAAGGACAGCGGCACTTGAGATGGGACGGAGTCGAGAAGTTGTTGGGAGAGTTGGTTGTGGTGGTGAGTCAATCGTGGCTCGAGTTGGTGGACCCGATTACGGAGGCTCGGAGCACACCAGGTGGACAGCAAGGACCGTGTTTTGTTGGCACTTATTGTAGCACCTGGTATGATAGAGTTGAAATCATCCGGTGTTTTGGTTGTCTCTATAGAACAGGTAGGCGAAGAGATGACTCTTCGACCCCCTTGTTCAACACGACGACGGTCGTAGGTGTAGCTGAAGCTGAAGCTGAAGCGGAGGCTCGGGCAAGAGGGTGCGGTGCGAGTCAACGGGATGGGGACAGCCTCCAAGCGTCGAAAGTCTGGTCGTCGTCCACTAGCGATGCTTGATTCCAGGCAAAAAGAGTATCAAGAGATGCAAGAGGCCAGATCGACAAGCTTAATAGCAGGCGATGCAGGTGAAGAGCTCGAGTCGGTGGTCGGGTGGGAGGGAGATAAAGGTGCTGAGCTCGAGTGGCGGCAGTTCGACAACAAATGGGCTGACTCTTCCTTTGTGGATGCTCAACTAGGTGATACAGAGACCACTACAGTTGTGTTTTCGAATTGATGTTGTGGAAGAGAGAGGACAGTTGAAGAGAACGACGACGACGACGACGACGACGACAGCGAAGACTGACGGGAAGGAGGTAAGGAGAGGTGAGTGAGAGCGAGAAGATGGATGGATGTGAAGGGGGGGAAGGCGATAGTGAAGTAGAAGGGGAGCAGAGAGATTGTATCAGGAAAGGTTGGAAGACAGGAAGAAGCGGTGGAGGGGGGGATTGGAGTGGTGTCTGAAGAGAGAGTGTGAGTGAGTGTGTTAGTGCTGCTGCAGACCCAGGCGAGCCAGGCCAGGGAACGCTCGGTACGTAGGCACTAGGTAGGTCGGTATGGGTAATGTGTAATGTTGGGGCGGATGGGATGATGAGATTGGCAGAAGACTCCAGTAAGCAATAGAAGGCGAGGGAACTGGCCGACGGGGGGAGCGACACACTACCGGTACCTACCTACTCCTACCTACAGTGCCTTCCTTAACACAAGACGGTGAACCAAGACACACACTGGGGACAGAAGACAGTGGGCTGCCCGGGGGGTGGGCGTGCCAGTCTTGCACGGTGGAGTGCCTGAGGATCAAGGAAGGCGTCCAGTGTGTGTGGGTTCTGATGTAGGTACCTACGTAGGGAGAGTCGGGAAGTACACAGCCTGCCTCGAGTGACTTCCAAAAGCTCGTGTCTATGAGCGCTCGGTGCCCAGGCAGCCGGCCGTGTCTACACAGTGCGATCAAAGGCGAGGTTGCCCTGTTTTGCTGGCGATTCCTTGGCCAATTCGAGTGTTGTGAGTGCCAGCCAGCCAGCGAATGTCGCTCCACTGGAACAGGCCACAGTGATCTGTGGACCATCGACACTGTAGCTATCCAAGGGAAGTGACAGGCCGTAGGCAGGAGCGAACGAGGTCTTGTGAGGTAGACTCGAGTCAGGAAGGTACGCGAGGACAGCGACAACATGCACTAGCCCACAACCTACCGAGTACAGCGGGCGGGCTGGACCAGGCTGGGCTGGGCCACGCCTGTTTCTCTTGTCTTCTGTCCTGGTCCTGCTCTTGTTGTTCTTCCTGCAGCTAGGAAATGAGGACGAACGAATAACACAATTTCCGGCCAAAAACAGCAACGCGCGGCAAGACGCCATTCGCTAGCAGGGTACACCGTCTTCTCCGCCTTCTGCAGCGACGGAGCCAGGTATCCCGGAAACGGTCCTGCTGGCTGCTGGACCACTGATCGACCCTGTACGTTGCGCTAACCAACTTACAGTATCATGCGGTGTGTGGATGTGGGTGCGTGTGTGTCTGCGTGAGGGCCGCCGTCATCCAGCGTGCCTGAGGCGACCATGCCATTCTTGTTGCAAGCGCGGCCAAGCTTGCCATGCGTGCATGACCAAGATAGTTCGCGGGCTGTGCCATTGGATGACGAACCATGCAGGCGTCCTCCTCCACCCTCCAGCGTAGGAATGGCAAGCTGGCAAGCCCGCAAGTCCACAGGACACGGTGTACCAAGGCCCAGCTGCAGTTCCACCTCGTCTCTGATATCGCTTCACCGCCAGTTACACGATATCGTCGTACTCTCGACGCCTCGAGCATTGGGACAGAGACCTCCGCTCGGGTACTCCTGCAGGTCTCGCCCCCAGCCAGCGTGTATCTCGCTATGCCCATCCTTTCACAGCAGAGGTATCGCCTCTCCTCGAGTCGCCCAAGGACACGTTTGTTTCGCTCCACCGGTACTGTGCTCGACTGGGCTGTCTGAAGTTATCTGCTTTGCCGGGCGGTGCTCCACACCCTCTTTTCATTGAATGCCAGGAGACATGGCTGCAGCCGGCCAATGGCGCCGACGCTGCACCCCGTCGACATTCCATTGAATTCTGTTTCACTTGGGCTACTCCTCGACTGCTGATTCGCCAGGGCTCATATGCACTCCTTATGGACTGCATCTGGTGTGTTTCCTTCTCAATGCGGAGGGAGCTCTGGCGACTGAGAAGCTTGCCGCTAAAATAACACCAGTCTCTCGACCGTCTCAGATTGATATGAAGCTCCCAGGAATTGGACTGCCCTAGCGATCCGTCAGCGTCTGAGACCGCCGTGGGAATCAACATCCATCCAAATGCAGCTATAAATCAACAGAGCAACCGCTGGAGAAACAAACACCAGCGACTCAAAAACAAATAATAGAACTATAGGAGACGGGATGTATCACTCGGTAACGTCCACGTTTGTTCCCGCCCCACCACGGTTAGCCCAAATTCCAAAAGAATTGTAGGGATCGAAGGTTTACACTACGATGGCATGTATTCCACAGAGAGGACCCTGTTCTTGATGGGTCTTATCTCATTACTCGCAAGCTTTCGTGAGCTTGGAGCGGCGTCACAGGTCCCGTTCTCTAGAGTAAACTCTCTCGATCCTTGCCTATCCAGGAGATAGGGGGTTGATGCAACCTGAGCACCTCATGGGCTAAGCTTATCAAGCTCCCGAGATTTCTTCGCCTCAGAAGGTTTGTTTGATCGGACTGATCAAAGAGCACATTTGAGGACGGCAATGATGACATCTCCGTGCTTTCTCGTCCCTTTGATCATTCCATTTCCCCGACCCCGTGGTCGCAAAAACAGTCCACTCTCCATGTCGTGTGACACCAGAGCCGTTATCGGTAGTGTATTCCTTGTAGCGATAACGGCTGAATCTGTACCTGTCGAGCCATCTGCTGCATCTCGCCGACCCCGCAACAGCTACTGTATGCCCTGTATTTGCATTGTGTTCCAGCTTTCCTGTGGAAGCTGTGTCGAACACGAACCACCCTCACTGCCATTCTTCCTGATCTGAAGCCATTGGCGCCCTGCTTGAATGGCTTGGCGAGGTTTCAATTAAGTACGTGTGAAGACACAGATGTCTTGCAAGCTGGTCAGCCACGAACAGTCCCCTACGGCAATATCGACCCAGTCCCTAACTTGAGTCGACCCACCAGGTCTCTCAGAAGGCGGTAGGGAAAGCAGTGAGGGTCTGCACCACTCCTGTCTAATAATGGTGGGTTGGCAATAAGAGACCCCAACAATCGACCCAATGGCTCCTGAATCACGAACAGTAACGACCGTTTGATGTTCTAGCGGTCAAGATTTGTGGTCGTTGGAGGATGGGCTGTTTCCCGCGCCTACCATTATGCCGTCGTGAGATGCTGGGACGTGCTCGTCAATGGGATCGTCGCGACAAATTGATGCGCGTCGACCCTGTCAGCCTGCAGGGCAGTAATTTGCAGAAGGGAGGCGATACGGCGCAGTGGAGTCATACTGTGGTATCAGACCCCGCAGGTTCAAGGGCTGCCAGATCAGGTATTGGACTTTGGAAGGGCTTGCTGCGGCCGCCCGGGTCCCTGCTGGAGCTCCTCTCCGAGCAGGTCCGCGACGTACGGTAGCCCTTCAATGGTGGTCAATCGTAGTGGTGTCGCGCTTCGACTTCAGACTGGTCGGGTCTCACGTCGAGCGCCCGGCAGATACGCCCACCACCTTGATGGTCTCCTCGCCTACCACATGGCGCCAGAGCTGCCCTCTCACACACATTGGCGGAGACCTTGCCGGATCACGATGGCAGATCTGTCGTGCTGCTCTTCACTGACTTCACCATGGTTGCCGGGGAAGTCATGGCCTGATTGTTTATTGCCTTCTTACTCCTGTGCCATCCTCTTCTCGCCCCTTGTGGGCAGCTGCAGGTCGTGTCATGGCGCTGCTGCATGAACCAGGCATATTCTACCGCTGCATGCGGCCAAAATTGCCTTCCCCTCGTTCCCTGTCCTTGCAGAAAGGCCAGCGCAGGTGCTGGGCTTCTGCTCAAGCCCTGATGCAACGGCCGGGCAGGAGCGCTGGGATACTGTAAAGTTCTGTAGGGTCGGGAATAATCAATATTCTCGTCTTGGGTCTCACTTTAGTCTGAGTGTACTCTATGCAGAATCTTGCGTGCTCGACCAGGACCATGCTGTACATGCCTGCTGCATAGTAGGCTTTGTTCGATAGCCCCCCGGAAGACGCTCCAGTTTGGCAGTTCCTGAACCTTGAAGCTGCCGAGCAGAATCGGCGCTAATGTTGCTAAACTGCGGGCACCAAATCCCCAGGTCTCCACCTGCCCGAACGGCCTTGACCCGAGCCGGTCTAGTGGGCTGTCCAGAGCGTCTTGACCGCCATCTCGAGAGAAAAACCTAACCCACGAGTATCATTGCAAGCATCGCCATTTGTCCACGATCCCAAGTCCACCGAGATGCAGCTGCACGTCGCGTCGCGGTGAGATCGAAAGAAGAGATAGGGAAAAAATTTCTATCTTGTCGTTGACAATTCCATAAAGACGGTCAAGGCAGAAAATTTGTCCAATCCTTATCTCGGCCCACTGGGGACTGCCCGCCAGAGCTCTTGCGCCTTCACCGCCCTCTACCTACCGATGCTCCTACCAGCTTCACGTATTATTCCTCCCTGTTTCGGATTCTCAGCCCCGGTATCTTAGATACCTTGCAAAGCACGCTGCTCTGCGTCGAGGCGCCCCATCATGGCTACCTCTACTATCAAGGTCGTTCTGCTTGACATTGGTAAGGCAGAGACTCTTCCCCGGCCCCCATCTCGCTATTCCTCTTCGGCCACACACTTTAATCCTTCTCGGCCGACCTCCAGTACCTTTTTCCTGGCACTGGGCGATCGGCCAAAAAGAGGTGTTGGCCTGCATTAGCCCGGACGAATTGGCTAATGTGATTTCCTGTTAGAGGGCACAGTCTGCCCGATATCATTCGTCAAGGACGTTCTTGTAAGGCAGATCTTCCACCTCTTATCAGCCATCTCCATTTTGCCATTCTCGTTCCTTCGCGCTGCGTGCGTTTGTATGCATGTGTGCGTGCGTGTGTGTGTGTGTGTGTCGTGTTCAGTGTGGTTGGCAGCTCAACCCGTCCTGTCGTTGTCCTGCCCTCCTTGCTTCGATCACCTCGCATCGCTGCTGGCTCCCGATCGTCACGGCTCTCCGAGACTCCCCATTCGTTGAAGATGTGCCGCCGTCTGATGTCACTCTCCGGCCTGGCTGTCTCTGGGAATAGCTGTCCCAAGCATTCTTTTGGCAGCGTGTCCCGCCCCTGACGACAGCTCTGTCGACAGACGCTCCGTTGTTTCTTCTTCGTCTGGATGCATTGTGCTGATCACCGTTCAGTTCCCCTATGCGCTGCAGGCTCTGCCCGAGACTTTGAAGTCAAAGTGGGATAGCCCGCAATTTGCGCAGTACAGAGATGCCTTCCCGGCAGAATACAGGTCGTCTCAGGCGGCATTCGAGGAGCACGTAAAGGACCTTGTGAGCCGTGACGTCAAGGCCTCATACCTAAAGAGCCTACAAGGCTACCTCTGGGAGAAGGGCTACAAGTCGGGAGAGCTGAAGGCGCCCCTTTTCGAGGACGTGCCGCCGAAGTTCGCATCATGGCGAAAGGATAGGCTCCGGGTCATGATCTACTCCTCCGGCTCAGTGCCCGCCCAGAAGCTGCTGTTCAGGCACACCAACGCGAAGCCGTCGGATCTGACGCCTCAGATTACGGACTTCTTCGACACAGTCAATGCGGGACCCAAGACTGAGGCGGCCAGCTATGAGAAGATCGCTGGCAAGTACAAGAGGTACGCTCCGAACGAGTGGCTGTTCTTGAGCGACAACGTCAAGGAGGTCGAAGCGGCAATCGCGGCGGGCATGCAGAGCTACGTTGTTGAGCGACCAGGCAATCCGGATCTACCTAAGGACATCCAAAAGCGGCACAAGGTCATACGGAACTTCGATGAGCTCGACAACATAGGGTCGTAGAGGACCAATACATATTCTCGAGGCTGACATCGGCAGTCATTCCTGGCCTCTGTGCTATGTATTCACGCCACTTCATGATAGGACGACTCTAGGGGATTAATTATTCTATCTACTAAGTATGACTCAAGGATTACATGACTGAACGAGTCTCTTCAGCATGAAAGGTGCTGAGACATATCGTACCCCATATGGATGCAGGAGATTACTTACACGTGACATCTCCTACTGGAGTCTTGATGGCCAATGCTTTGACGAACCTCTCATTTTGATAAGTCTCTTGACATGACACAAAGCAATGCCATTGAACTTAAGGACGTGCTATTTTACAGACAAGTCTAGTAGTCAAACATGCTAAGTAGTCCGCAAGTTGCAGCAGCGATGGCACAAAGGAAGCAGAACCTGGGGGAAGTCGCCTGGGAAACGGGGGGCTAATCCTGGCGCGCTTCTGATTCGCCAATGGCCTGCGCAAGTGAAATACGGATAGGCGTAATAGCCCCCTACGTCGTGCATCATCTGACCAAGGAGGGGTACTAGTTCACACATCACGAGGCGCAAGCCCAGCTCATCTCTCACTCGACGGGGAAGCCGCAGTGGCAATCAATTGCCGTTGAGTAGGACGGCGTTGGTGATCCTTGCGTCTAGAACGCGGTTTAAGCTAGATGCTGTGGCTAGGCGTGTCCGATGCGCCGCTAGGTATGCAGAGGAGCATCGCGATGGCTTCAATCTCGATGGGCTCTCCTGGCCGGTGTCACAAAGTCAAGTAGAAGCTGGTCGGAGGAGAATTGAAGTACCAGGGATTGCCTCCCTTCAGCGTCCCATTTAGACGCATGGCTGGCAGCGTGGCTTGGATGTGCTCATCAAAGACACCGGCATTAGTCCATACTCTCGCTAGAATTCCCCTGGCGCCATCTCCCACTTGTATAGAAGACTTCCCGACCACCGCTTTCCCCTCGCCAAGTCTCGACAAGTCGTCTGCTCCGTAGAGTTGCTGTGGCCATCGTTGCTGGGTGCCAATAGTGAGCATTGAAGTTGCTAGTGGCTCGTGTCACATATCCCTCTACAAGCGCTTCCTTCGGTGAACCATCTATCGACCTCAAAGCGGCACATCCTAGCAAGATCCCCCGCACTCTAGTAAGCCTCCTGTTGCCTTCAGTTTCAAAACGGGTTTACAGGACAGGTGATATGAATCGAGCGGCAGAAATTGCTAACATCCACGGCAGTAGGTGTCAGAAACGAGCCTGCTCTACTGTAAGTCCTGGCAGCTTGTCTGACGCCAAGCCTCTTTTCCGGATCATCTGACTGATGTTCTTCTGAAGCTCTCACAACTCGAGTGACATATCAAAGCGTTTGGTCGCAAAAAGCAATAAAATATGAAGCTCCCTGTTGCTGTTCCGTGTCCCATGACCACTTCTCGTAAAATTGCCAGGTATCAGCGTCCCTCTTCGAGAAGCCATGCCATTGCGAATTGCCGCTCCACCGCCCCTTCTGTATTTCGATCGTGGCATTGACGGGTGACAGCCATGCCTCCTCAAGCATGGCATTCCCGCTCGTGCTCGTCACATTTTGAACAATAGTCTTGATTTAGAGAGCTGATAGATTATGTTGGCTGAGTAGCGTGACCATTGCGGTTGAAGTCGGTAATCGTTTATAATACAGAGCATCATCCGGCACCCTTGATCACAATTGCGAAGTTATTTCGAGATGCGCCGGGCCTCAGCTCCTTCTTAGCAAAGTCCATTCGTGCATTTGGGATATGCGGTCGCCGCTTCCAGAGGTAGTATACCAATTTCTGCGTGATCTTGGACTCGATCATCTCGTAGTCAAGAGATGCCATCATAGCCTTCAGCTTCGCCTCGTCCATATAACGCGAGTTCAGGACACATGGTGCCGGAAGCACCAAGAACAGGCTGGGAAATAGAGTACTCCACGGTGTCGGCTTGATGCCAGATGGGTCATGCAGAAAGTCCAACGTGCGGAGAAGCATATCACCTCGACTCTTGGGATCTGGCACGAAATTGAGCACTCTAGAAATAGCATATTAGCATTCCCTAGCCTCTCGGAAGACAGAATGAGTAGATGGACTTACAATGACAGACTGATTATATCGAACTTCTCTCGGTGATTCTTAGGAAGTGGCCGTTTCATGAAGTCCTGCTGTAGAATGCCCTCCCCCTGGCTGTTCAAGTCAATGCGCTCTATGTCGAAATATTCGCTTTTGGAGCAGGCATTACTCGTACTCAGAGCTCCAACCTCAAGCATACGTAGACGCTGCGTTCCGGGCTTTCTGAACGGCTGAATTGGTTTTAACCATTCCACAAGCACTCGAGAACTATCTCCTCCCCGGTCGGTGCGTTGTCCTTGGAGGCTGGCCTGTTGGTACTGCTCGATGCCACCCAACGCAGCTATCTCTGCTTCAATAGCTGTCTCTTCGGCCTTATCTCCATTTTCGATTGCCTTCTGCTTTCTCTTTTCCAAGGTATGGATATTGTTGATCAACGTCCTTGTTGCTTTCCTTGAGATGGATTTGGGCTTTTGGAGAGTTGGTGGCCGGCCAGCCGTGAGACTTCGCTTTGCTCTCTTCGTCTTAGCGACTCCCATGATAAGATATGTTCAATATCAAAGCCAGTGTTTGGCCTAATATTCCCGATTGGGTCTCATTCTTATATCTTATGGCTTGTAGATCGAGGTTGTTTTGGTAGTCTCTCGTGAGGTTGAGCTTTGGCCGTATGAAATTGAGCTACGGATACGGCTGGGCGTGGCTGTATTCAGTATCAGCGAGTTTTTCCCAGTAGGTGGTCCGTGCTTGACGCTAGAGCACGGAGGAAACTACTCTAACTATATCTAACTGATCTCTGCGTGTGTCCCTCGTGATACTGATAGCAACAGTTAGTATCCACCCTGGTTTTTTGGCTTAGCAGCCGAACCCTAATGAACCACAAAAACTTTCCTTTCGCGGCCAAAAAAGATTCATCCTCGACATCTCCAACCGCAAATCGACTTCGTCAGCCCGGGTCACTACACAGATTTCGAGATGGCTCCCAAGGATCAGAAGAAAGGTATATGACTCTCCAATATGGATTCCACAGTTCAATGTTGCCGGCTCTCGCCTCGGCGTGGGCAAACCGCTCAGCGACCTAGGCGATGAGTGATTGCGATGCATTCAGCAGCAGCAGACTTTGCGAGTTCTGAAAAGAGCGATTGCTGATGCGTCTTTCTCTGATATAGGCGCCTCCAAGGGCACCAAGGGCTCCAAGCAGGCCAACGCTGCTGCGAAGGCTGCCCTCAAGGGTGTAAGTAATCCACGCTGTCCACGTTTTCTACTGCCAGACAGATGCTAAGATCCTGCTTCAGGTTCACTCCCACAAGGCCCGCAAGGTCAGGCTCACGACCAGCTTCCACCGTCCCAAGACTCTGCAGCTGTCTCGTGCCCCCAAGTACCCGCGCAAGTCTGTCCCTCACGAGCCCCGCCTCGATGAGCACAAGATCATCGTGCACCCTCTCAACACTGAGAGCGCCATGAAGAAGATCGAGGAGAACAACACCCTTGTCTTCATCGTCGACATCAAGGCCAACAAGGCTCAGATCAAGGGCGCCCTGAAGAAGCTGTACGACATTGACACCGTCAAGATCAACACCCTCGTCCGGTATGTTTTCAGTTCCCGCAAGCCAAAGTTGCTTCAGGCTCTTGTTCTTCTGGGCAATGTACTAACCGAATACAGCCCTGATGGCACCAAGAAGGCCTACGCTCGTCTGACTCCTGACGTCGATGCTCTGGACATCGCTGCCACCAAGCTGGCTCTTGTCTAAGCGTGCATTCTGACTGACCGGGCGGTCAACTGGGAGGGTAATGGACTCAAAAGGGAACGGAAAGAAATGCATTCCACCGGCGTCAAAATAGGCATCTGGTTTACGATATACCAATGACAATGAATTGGCTTCCATCCCTCCCTCAATCATGTCTCACGCTTGACTTTTGCCGTGTTGTCCATTGCCTAGAAAGAAATCCGCGCCAATCGACCAAGATGACTTTGACATGCGACTACGTACAATGATTCTGCGAGCCTTGCCATTGATATGTTTGATCTATGCAACCATCCTGTTGTGATCACCGGTAATCTAGTAGTACAATATTGCCTCGAGTGAAGATTCGTACACGTCGCTGGAGCTTCCCTCCGCGGCCAGAGCTTTTCCTGACATGACCTCCAATCTGTTTAACCCTGTCGCATGCTTTGAAGGTGCTTCATCGTCAATAGGTTGACGTCTAGGAACCGGTCTACGCAGCTGGCCAAGCAGCCCTCCTCGCTTTTGTCGAGCTTTCCGTTGCGGATTGTACCGGATACGCACTTCTTCCAGCAGACATCTGTCAGGGCATGGGTTTCTGTAGGAGGGGCGGAAATGTCAGCGCGATTGCAACACGGGGTAGAGCACCTTCACGAAATGGAGGTCGGCTTACGGGATTGTATCCGTGTCCTTTGCTGCTCGTTTGAGATGAACTGGCGCAGCTCGCTCTTGTCCTTGTCGTTGAGCTTGTCGAGGTCGGCTTGCTCGAGTGATGATGATGCGTCCATGTTGGCTAGGTGTGGTTGCTACTTGAGCTATGTAGGAAGCAGCGGAAGCAGCGGAATCAGCGGAATATAAGCTTGTCGAAAGTTGCAGTGCCAGTCGATTGAGCGGTTGTCGAAATAGGTTGGGCAGGTAAGTGGTATTCTTTCGAGCCGAGGATTCAAGATAAATTCCCACCGTAATCGATGCGTGGAAGAAGAATCTTCGGGACTATGTTAGCCAATAGGATTCGTTCCAGCACTAACAGCTTCCAAAGGTTGAGAGCTTCATAGACTACCGCATGGATCTCTCAAGAAGGTATTTATTTATAATTAAACCCATTCATTCGTTATTCCTTGCTTTTATTTTCTATTATTTGAGTTCATTTGTACTGAATAGCTTATTGTAGAGTTGTAATTCGCTGCATCGAGGGTAAACCTCGTCGAGCTTAGCACAGTTGTCCTATAAGTAGGCAAGGCCATACGTTCTAATAAGCCTCGAGGAACAGCTAGCCAATAACAACAATATTGTTCTGCCATCATGTCAAATGTTGCGAGAAGCTGTATGGTGGTATACCGATCTTAAGGATGTACCTGAGGCGTTGAAATATGGGTGGGAACAAGTCAGGTGGCCCATCTGTGTTTAGCTCATATGTCATCTAGGATCGTTGCCTAGGGTTGATGCCTTCATTGCAAGGCCTCTGTCTAGGTGGGCATCTGTGTCTATATCAATCAATCAAATTTTGAAAATACTACAATTACTTCCTGTGCTTTATTAAATTATTATTTCAAGGACGCTCCTCTGCGTTTGGTTGTTTAGCTATATTTTCGTGATGTCTGAGCAGGACGCAGCCCCCAACACCGTTCAGGGGGACGAGCCAAAGCCCAAAGTCCCCCTTATTGATCTTGCAAGCATCCCAAGGCCGACCAGGAGCGTCGAAGTCAATTCATTCTTTTACACCGACGAAAAGGGGATCAAGCACAATATTTATATTCCCAAGGGCACTGTGCGAGTCGCCTCTAAACTCTGGTCCGAGAAGATGTTTGACGAGTTGGGTAAATTCCCACCATACAGTAAGTGTCATGTCACATCCCAAGAAACCGTGTGAACACTGTCGTGTTCTGCTCAACGTCGTGGAGATACTAATCACCTCGTCGCAGCTGGCCAAGGCTACGATAATTGGGACAACGACCCAGAGACATATGCCGACTTCATCAAGAGCCTGGAGCAGTTCGAATACCTATTCGAGAGGAAAGACAACGAAGATGATTTGGGTTTGGTTGACCCAGCCGAAGACCTGGCAGATCAGACTGCAGGGCTAGGTGTCAGTCGGACCTAGGCCTCTTGATGATATCCTAAATGAACATGAGATGGCGAGTAATTAGCCGCAGCCTGTCTACATTGTGAATCTTTTGTCGTTCAAGAGTACAGTACAGTACATAGTGCGTATCTAATATCTGACTTGTTTTGATACAATCATTTCCACGTGGATAAGAGTAATCTAAAGACAAAACGCTGTCCCACCGGACCTTCTATTGGACTGTCTAACTCTATCGAAATGCAGAATACCACCGTCCACAATGCCCCTGACAGAACGCTCAGTGTCCTATCATTCACACCATCATCCGTCTATCCACAAAAAAGAAACATTAAAAGAAAGACAGAAGAGTCTCTTCAACGACAAGCCACAACGAAACTAGATGTAGCGAAAGCGCCGAGCAACAGCAATGCAAACAACACAGAACGCGCACAAACTCCCCAGAATGACGAAGAATGCGTGGAGATTATCCGTATCCTGGAAGGGCACATGAACGTTCATGCCGAACAAGCCGGTGATTACATTAAGGGGCACGATGATCGAAGCAAGGAATGTGATCTTGCTGAGAACCTCGTTGGCCCTGGTGCCTTGGTTGATACTATCGATCGACAGCTGGGCGAGATAATTGCTGTGGGAGCGCGAGAGGATCTTCTCAAAGTGGCCCAGGTTAGTCATCATGGTGACGACGTGATCCTGGATATCACCAAGATACAGACCAATGTCCATCCGTGGCGTGACCCGATAATTCTCGTTGCAACGCTTGGTAAAGCCCTTTAGAACATCTGCTTTGCCTCCTAGAAGACGGAGAAGACCCATGACGTTCTTGCGCAGAATGCCGATCTTCCGCAGGAAAGCATGCGTATCATCGGATCGAGTAATGAACACCTCATCCTCGACGGCGTCAGCATCCAATTCAATCCTGTGAATGACAGGAGCGAAAGAGTCGACAATGTCATCACTGTTACCACGTTAGTGTCGATGCAGCCAAAACTCGGGTCCAGATACTCACATCAAAGCATAGCAGATCCAGTCGCTGCTTAGAGCCACGTAATCCTTGAGCATCGCAATCCTGCGGCGAACATGGGATGCGTGCGCGTTAGGAGCAAAGCTGAAGCTCAGAGTTCCCTCGCGGAAAACGACCACGTAGATATTGAATGGTTCATAATCGGGCTCACCGTCCTCCAGCACAACATTGAATGATCTAAAACAGGCAAAGTAGTAGGATGGAAAGAGCTCAATCTTCTCCCGGGACTCCTGAGTGGTGATATCTTCAATTGTCAGGGGATGAACACCGAATGCTTTGCAGATGGCGCGAACTTCGTCCTCAGTCGGGCTGTTGACATTCAGCCACCACACGCCGTCAGTATCTCCCTTTGGGAAGGAGAAAAGACCACGGATATCTTCTCCGGGAAGGACAAGATCTCCCAGTTCAGCAGCATGGATGGTTGACTCCCAAGCGGATGAGAAGAAGCCGAACCGATTTGGATCATGCTGCGGGATGTTCTTGTGTGGCTCAGGGGCATGCTCCACCTGCTCTTGCTTCTCATTCTGCATTGAAGCGTCGGAAGGCATCTCAATGATGTCCCCATCTGATGTCATAACCTGGCCAAGCGGCTCGACAGTTGCCGTTGAAGACTGTGGGCGTAGGTCAGGGAAGACCCTGACGGCGGACGGACGCCTCTCAGCTAGTTGTTGACTCTCTTCCTCGGATCTGATGAAGTCTTCGAGATAATCAAAGTCGATATAAAGGGTGTCCTTTCGATGCTCGTCTTGCATGGGAAAGCAAACATCCTCCTCGGCCGATTTGTTGGTAGCCAGACTTGCCGAGTCGCTATCGGACACTGTACGAGGCTTGCTGCGATGGCTGTGACGACTATTCACGGACAAGGTACGGTGCAGCTCAAAATCCTCGGGCTTCCGGGTCTCAGAGAACGACATCTCTCGCTCCCGTCGACGAGCCTCCGCGAATGCTTTGACGGAGTTCGGTGGGGAGATGGACCGTGGGTCGGCCATCGTATCAACAGTTGGTCGCCGGCTGCGGCGAGCGGTTGGAGAGACATCGCCAGGCTCATCATCCACGACGGCCTCCTCGAAATCGCGTACACGGACCGAAGGGTGAAAGTCATTGCCATGAACACCCTCGGCTTCCTGGTGCCGTCCACCGTAGAGGGAATCGAAAGTACCCCGACGCGGACGGTCTCCTCGCTGGACTGACGGTGTCTGACGGCGGTGATCATCCAGCTCAGGGACTGGAGTATCATAGCCGCCGTCCGAGACGACTTCCTCCTGGTCAGACATTTTGCATACAGACTCGATCTGTCCGTTTCTCGTTCCTTGCTTGAGAATATACAGCCACACAGACAAATTAAAACCGCTCTAAACCCCCAATGATCTCAACACGGGTAAGGTAGACCCTCGAATAGCTACTCGTCCGCAACGCGCATCCTGGAGAAGGATGTCACGCAGAGAACATTAGCAAGAGCAGCGGGCGGCTCCTCGCCGTCCGCGGCGACGTGCAAACCTGCTTTACGATTAGGTGGTAGTCGTCGAGGCGACCAGGTCGAGTGGTGTAGAGGAAGAAGAGGCGGTCAAAGCTGAAGCTCGTGATTGCGATCAAAATGTAATCTTGTTCCGTTGAAGCCCAGTTATGGAGGCTTCTTGTTCACTCCAAGATAGACCCAGCAGGAGGGGCTATGGAGCGAACGAACGAAGGAGAAACGAGAAAGTACGAGCCCCGCCAACTTGGTGGTATTGTAGTTTGGATGAGGGTTGTTGTTTGTTTGTGCGACGAAGTGAAGGCTTGTCGCACACTCTGGACGTGCGCTGGCTTGCTGGTAATACAGGAGTGTTCTCAGTGAACTGTTTTTGCGAAGAGTGCTAAGTTGGGATACTGCGATAGCGCTCTTTTGCTACTATAGCTCTGTTTCGTCGAGTATGGGAGAGTCGTCGTGAGACAGCGTGGTGGCCGAGGTGCAAACTGAGGTATGGGTATGGTAGGTTGGGTAGGTAAAGTTTTTTGGTGATATGACGTGGGACCTGGACGTCGTCGTCGTCGTCTGGGCCTGTGATGCGCTGATTGGTATATCTAGTAAATAGTCATGCCGTAGGCCGTGAGAAAGAAGACAGAATATGTGAGGGAAGTCAAGTCTGCCCCGAGAATTGTGCTCGAAGATCGAGTTGTTGTTGTTGTTGGGTTATGGAAGTGGACGAGGGATAAAAGTGCGTAGAAGCGATTTGTCTAGGGAGCGGAAGTCGGGCTTTCGTGAGACTGCCTGGCCTGGCCTTGGGTGTCTCTTGGGGGCTTCCATCCCAAGCCGGAAAAAAATTAGTTTTGGGCGCCGAGCCCCGCCACCAGTGGCCTGGCGGCAAACAGTCACCTGGCTGGACCCCAGCTGGGCAGTGGCCAGTCCGCTGACTTTTCCTGGGAACTGGTTCTGTGCCTGGGCAGTGGCCAAACCGGCACTTCTGGTAGGCAGGAATCGTTCAATACGAGACTCTCGTGTCCAGGTTCGCCAGGGCAGAAACATGTACTCCTCCGTTAGAGTAATCAACATTCAGTCTTAAAGTAGGAAGAGACTGAATGTCGAGAGTCGTTATACTGGACAAGATCTCAAAGGTTCTGTTTATTACTATAGGTCTATCAACTTCTACAGAGCAGTAATCTCTCGATGGAGGAGGCGATGACACCCTTGTCGAATTAACAATTCTTACCCTAGTGGAGGAGTAGCAATCCAGCTTAACTGTACGCTGTAGTCAGAGAAGCACGAAAATCTCCAGAGAAAACCTATCTCGGGCATGATTAGTCACAATGCCTTTGCCTTTTCTTGCTATCCAAATACTATCTCAAGACAATTCAAAGGCCACTGGGCGGACGTTGCAGATCGATACCTAGGTACCTAGTTGTATATCCAGGGACCGCCTTAGGTCATCTGGGGTGAGCGGGACGCCTCTTTGGTTTGGTGGCTGTAGCAAGTACCTAAGCCTCACTCCAGCCTACAGGGGTCAGGCCTCATTAAGCCAGATTTCCATCAACCTCTCTTCGCCCACCTTGACTTTAAGCTGTCTCCGAAGCTGCGGCATCATCTCTAAGACAGACCACCTCCCCAACTCTACTCCTGGCACCGGAGGGACTCCTGCACAACATGGCTGACCAGATTCTTGACCAAATTCGCGATGTTGCCGAGGGTCAGATTGTGGGTTGCCCGTGCATCAATTGGAGCTTGATCCTGGACATCAACTAACGACAGCAGGACTTCGAAGGCCAGAAGCTGGCAGACTTGCTCGCAAGTGTACTCCTAGTTGTCGTCGGCGTATGTTTTACCCTCTCGAACCCTTCCCTACGGTCCGAGAACGGCCAGCTAATGCCCACCTCGTCGTAGGCTATCTCCTTCATTGTTGGCCACTTCCTCCAGGACATCAAGCTCGCCGTCTACATCGCCCTTGGAGGCACCGCTCTCACCTTCGTTGTCGTCGTACCCCCGTGGCCGTTCTTCAACCGAAACCCTGTCAAGTGGCTGCCTGTCGGAGGAGGAACAAGCATATCTACACCCCAAAACTTGGTAATCGACGAGAAGGCACTGCGATGAAGCTTCTGTGCGGTTATAGCAGTGGCACGTACGGGACAAAAAGCAACCATGTGTTTACGATTTTGTCTTGGCGAGAAAATAATCTATCCCTCGATAACCTGCCTTTGTATCATCATGTCGTAGAGGGCCTTCGTAGCATGAGCAATGACCACTGTATCCGTAGCTCGTGCAGAGACCAGGAACCTGCCGTCTCTATGGCCTTCATGTCCCTGTATTCCAATTTGTGTCTCGTCACCTCTTCTCGCCACCTCACATCTACATCCTAGCGGCCATACTTCTGGAACTCCCAGTCCCTGTTGTCCAAGGGACATACTTGTCGGGCCTTCAGCCATCTAGAGATGCAGTGGAAGTGGAAAGCATGCTGTCAGACATCATGTTAGTACTGTTGTTGCACCGTTTGAACCAGCGAGCGGATTGAGCCTACGTTGCAGATACCCCAAGCCACTGTGCACTCCTCGCTGGTAGCTGATGCTTGGTTGGCTTGACACTCGATGCCTGGAGAAGAGTCCCTGTTAGCACCGGGGCAGAGTTGGTAGTGGTGAGGTTGGAAGATGCTTACAGAGATCCATGATGTGGTTTCGGCAGATAGCACAGTTGTCGACGACGATGTCCCACGCCCACAAGGCAACGGCATTCCACTAGATAGAGCTTGTCAGACAGTCCCCGGATCTCACGATGCGGGTCTCCCTCACCTTCTTGACCTCGAATCTCTTCTTGCCGTCCTTGCCGACCGCATCAGCCGCAGGTCCGCTCTTCTTCTTGGTGACCGGACCGGCGGTAGTGGGGGCGTCTGCCATGTCGACGTCGGCCATGTTGGTTGAGATGGGGGATGAAGTTGCTGCGATGGTGGAGGTAGGAATTTGGCTGGTTGCAGAATTGCCGATATACTGCCACCCTGTTGGCAGAGAGAGTGCGAGGCTGCCGGAAATGGCGGGGCTAGGTATCTCAGCTACCTGACTGTAGGTAGGTACCTAGGTAGGTACCTAGGGAGGTAGGTACGTACTTTCCCGTTTGCGCCTGTGCTCTTCCAGGTAAGTAGGCACTAGGTACTACTATGCACTATGCAGTATGCAGTATACAGTAGAGTCATAGCGACTGCCCCAGCCTTTACCGTTTCCCAGTTAGAAAAGGCAGTCATGCCTATACCTAGGTAGGTAGGTTTAGTCATGCTATCTCCCTAAAGGTGTTTGTTTCTCTTCTACCACCACCGCCACCATCATTTCATTTAGTCACCGTCTTCTTCTTCAGACAATCAAGACCTCTCCTCCTCACCGACACATGGGCGCATCTCGAAAAACATGCCCAGGACAGCAAACTCACCAAACACCAGTATTTACCAAGTCAATATTCGTATCTTCTCCTCTACCGCCAATTCCAAGCCAGTCGTGGACCGACCGCCCAGACAAAGTCAGCCAGAGACACTGACACAGACCCTCGTCACCTGATTTGCATTCTCAGCTCCTACCCAGGTCTAGCCTTCTGCACGTATCGTATTACCCTGCCTGTATTACAGTACAGTTCGTGCAGGCCGCTTCGGGTGGGATTCCTTGATCCTCGCTCGCCCCACAGCCTTGACTTGAGCCAGCAACGCATTTCCCAGGCAGGACCACAGCCACACAACAAGAAACAAGCACGCCTGCAGGTCACGCAAAGACAAGCGCAAGCGTCTGCCACTCTGCCCTGTCCGCCGTCCGTGGGCCTCCCTCCCGCCCTCCGGTCCGCTGCGCTGCCAGCTTGCCCCTCGATTCGATAGATACAGTGGCCTACCCTAGTCTGTCGCTTCTCTCTGCCTTACCTCTTTACCTTAACCTTTACACATACCATCCATCCATCCCGACATCACCTCACCCACCGACGTGCTCCCTCTCTTCCTTCCCGACAATCACATCACACTGGCTTCCGCATGAAGCCTCCCATTCGAAATGCAACAGAGTAATTTCCAACAAAAGCAGACCTCAGGTCGGCGTCGCCATCCCCGGAATACACAAGGCGCCCAGAAGAGCTACGCCTCTGAGAATGACGCACAGTCCGACAACCCCTTCCAGCCCGACTTCTCCACGGGCAGTCCCCAGACTCCGCAGAAGTCCAACTCCGGCAGTCCTGCGCCAAGCTCGGTGCCTCAGAATCCAAAGTCGAACAAGAGGACCGGGAACAAGTCTCGCCCCAAGAATGTCTCTACGTCGCCGAGACCTGTGAAACCGGGGCGTCATACCCCTCCGCACACAGCTGCGGCTAAGCAGCCTACATCGACTGCATTTGCCGGAGCTACCTTTCATGCCTCTCCCGCTCCGTCTTCCCTACCGATACCTAGCTTCCTCTCCAAGTCAGGCACCGACTCACCAGGCTTCAAGAACTCTGGAAAAGTCAGCCAAGAGCCTTCTCCACCGACAAGCGATTCCGATACGCCAACACTGCAGCCCGCGACCATCTCACAGACTGCAAGAGAGGAATCGCCTCTGGATTTGCTCTTCCGTGCCGACAGAGCCGAGAAGGAGAGAGCTCGTAGAACGAGCTCTGCTAATGCTATGGAGTCTGTCATCGGCCCCTTCTCGCCACCTACGGAGCCTCGTTCACCTCCGCAGAATGCAGCGTACTCCAGGGGCAGTAATTCGCAGCCAAGACCCCGTCCAACCTTCCAGCGCAATGCCTCATCAGGAATATCCTCGACAGAGCTAGATGGAACTCCTGGCCGGCCAATGGGCCCGGCATTCTCAACACCTTATCAAGACCGAATCAAAGCTGCGCGCTCAGCAGACAGGCGTGAGCAGCAGTCACCGAGAGTCCTGAGGGAACAGCAATTTCAGCAACACCCTACTCCTCCGTCATCAGACGACAAGAGCGAGGCTCTCAAGAAATTCCTTTTTGGCGGCCCACAAGCAGGCCAGCAACAGAGCGCTGCACCGAGCGGACAACAGAATCGCATGGCAAACCCTCCCAACGGATACTTCCCAGGTGCACCTGTTTCCTACTCTCAGCAAATGCCGTCGCCCCCGGCGACCCATAACCCCGAGACCGATCGCAGCGCCGAGTTCGCTGCCATTGAAGACAGTTTGCGCCGCGTTCTGAAGCTTGACATGAATATGAGCTCTGGGCCAACATTGGCCAATGCTCATCGGTCTTAATTTTCAAGCTCTTGCCAATACGACGAATCCATGTATGCGTTGATATTGCTCCATTTCGCAGGAGTCTTCTTACGAACCTCGACATACCCACGAATCTCTTTTTTCCTAGTTGTTATCTGTCAGACAGGTTTGGCGTTCAGAAATAGGATCCTGTTGGTGGCTTTACAGCATATGCGGACTTCATGGCGGTCTTGAATCGGTTGAATGTCCACATGGTTAAGGCGTTTATGGACGGCGGAATTACTCCCGTCAAGTGTACCGGTCACGGATAGACTGTTGGCACATCCACGTGTTCATGACATCTTTCTGGTATTCGTTTCTTGGCGATGTATTGTTTATGTCATCCTGAACATACGGTACGAGTTGATAGCGATGCTCTGTATCTTGGAGATACCCATTGCAGTCTGGAGTTGATCCAATGGAGGATGCTCATTGAGCAGAACGGGGATGGATTCGGAGTCGGGGACAAGAAAGGGGCGCAACAGGCGGTTGGTCGCCCATGGACAAGTCTGCTCGGCGGAGCAGTTTCATACCTACAGAAAACCAATATTTGGTGATGTAAGTGGTCTCGCATCAGTTACTATTAGACATACCCTCTAGCTCTTGGAATGTCACGAACCACTTATTTACCATAACCACTGCTTATCTCCATGATTGTGCATACATTATAACATTTGTGAACATGAGGCGGAGATGTGTAAATCTGAAGAACTCTACGTATACTAATCTGCCGTCTTCCTCCTCTTTTCCTCTCGTGAATACCATACTCCATGAGACAGGAACAGATACTTTGAGAAGAAATCTTCCGCAAAGTCATCAAATTTCTTGTAATCCGCTCCGAGGCGATAAGCTGCAGCAATGCCGCTTACGCAGGCCAGCTCATGCATGTTCTGTTGCTATGTCAGTAATCATATCCAATCATCGCACTATCAAGCAGGGGATATGGTGCTCACCACCAGGGTCCACGAGCCAGCAAACCAGGTACTGCTCTCGCCATTCAGGAACATCATACCAGGCACAACTCGGAGATAATGTTGCCAACGGTGGCCCAGCTGATGCCACCACTTGCGCTGGATGATCTTGCCCTCGTCGATCTCCTTCCAGGTCCACAAGTTCTCGTTCTGCTGGTTGAGGAAGATACTCTGGTACACGTGCGCGTAGCCCCGGTCGTCCTTGGCGCCCGTGGCCTCCAGCAGCTGGTGCTGGTAGTTGGAGCAGTCGAAGCTCATCTCGATCTTCTTGGGGTCCTGGCCGTAGGTCTTGGTGTAGTACATCGGGCGGAAGCCGCCGGGCGCAGACGGGTCCTGGCCCTTGGCGAAGGATACCTGCTCCTGTTGGCTGTTGGACTTTGGCTCTGCGCAGAGCTCTGGGTCAAAGTGCGTCTCGTAGTGCTTGTTGAAGTAGTCGCTGTCCCAGTGCGTGACCGTGATGTCGTCGTAGAAGGCGGCGCCGCCAAGAACGAAGTTCTCCTTCCAGGACGCGTGCTTGCCTAGAATGCGCAGCGCATCGTCAGCGAGGACGCACAGGACCATATCGTCGAAGTCCTCCTGGACTGCGTTGTCTGTGGCTTCGCCGCCTTGGACTGGCGCTGTTCGGAGAGATACGCCCCTCTTTGAGCGTGCCAGAACGTGCGTCACCTCGTGGTTGAGACGGATCTCGACGCCTTTAGAGACCAGATCTTTCCGCCAGTCTTCGTAGAAGTCATTCAGGTTGTCGAACGTCACCATCTTGGGAAGATTCGGGAGCAGAGTCTCCGAATCGTAGTCCCACAACTTCATGTTTGGATCATCAAACAAGCGTTCCACGATGGCGGACGGGACATTTGCCGTCTGATTGCCGGTTCCTAGGAACAACGCAATGAGAGGATAGACCATCTTGTCGCCAAAGTCTTTGCTGAAGAACATCAGGCGTAGCATGACCCGGATGGGAACCAATCCCAGGACGGGCATCGTCCACTTCACGAGTTTCAGGGAGCCGAATTTCTTGATGTCTGAGGAGTACTTCTCAACCAGAGTACTAGGGAAGCAATTGGTCCAAAACCCATCCTTTCCCTTGCCAAATGAAACTTGCAACTTGACCTCCTTAGGATCGTGGCCATATTTATGGAAGAAGTTAAAAGTATGTTTGAAGATCTGTTATCGTCAGGAAGGAGTATTCCACCGAAATCCAAGAGGCTTACAGGAGATCCTCCTTGAACTCCATTGTTCATCCAGCCAGCACCAAATTGCTTCTCGTCGAGGGAAATCGACGTGGCCTGCCCGCCGGTCACTGGCCCTCTCTCAATGACAGTCACTTTAAACTTGTCAGGATGTTCGGCAAGAGTTGCAGCACACGACATGCCCGCCGCACCGGCACCAACGATCACCACATGCTTCTGTCTGTTATTTGGGCCCATTTTGGTGTAGAACAGGCTGGTGTAGTATGTAAAAGTGAAGTGAGACCCAAAAGACGGTTTGGGTAGGGAGTTATTTCTTCAAGGTTCAAGGACGTCATTGACTCGAACGCCATAGCCACGCTCAGGACTGGCTGAGGCGCACATCAAAATATTCATTGGTATCAATCCACGTGCTTGGATAATTAGTTGCCTGAATGGTTGGGTCATATAAAGTGTCATTCAGCAGCGTGGATAGATGGAGCTGCTTCATCAGTATATGGTACACGATGCATCTTTCGGACCCATAGCACAAGGATCGGGGTCTGGGAGTGAGACATGAAGCTTAGCACCTATTGTAAACTGCTTCGAAGGCTAACGGCTTAAGGACCAGAACACGATTTCATTTGGACACATGAGGCCTTCGTTTAAAGGTATCTTGCAGGAAAAATCCGAACAATGCTAAGCTTAGCAATGTAAAAGCAGTTTTTGATATTCTGGCAGACTCCATGCACCTAATCTTCATTGACGTAAATACAGCTAAGAACGTTTCATTGGACAGCACTTGAAAAGTGGGGCCGCATTCACGTGTCCAGGCGTCAGTCTCGCGGGGTTGTCCAACTAATCGTTCATAAGCTCTCAAGCTTCATCTTATCCGATTTTGGAGGAATGACTACAGCAACTTGCTTGTCGGAGGCGTGAACCATGGCCACGAACTGGGCTGCCGAGTTCAATGGCGACGAGGATGAGGACGAGGCTCTGAAGCGAGCTATTGCCATGTCACTTGGCGAAGACGTTGCAGGAGATACCACGTCTTCAGATCGCGATGAGAGTGACCACTTCGAGACCCAGGCGCAGGAATCACTACCGAACGCCAAATATGATGCGAAAGAAAAGTCCCAAGTCTCCACACAAATGACCACCCCAGAGTCATCCCAAGCAACTCAAAATGCGTTCTCGTCGCTTGGCTTGGACAGGAAGAAAATGGAAGAGGAACGTCTAGCGCGTTTGCAGAAGAGAAAGGCAACCGAGGCAGGCATTACAGAGAATCAGCTACCGTCACAACGTGTGAAGATGTCCAGTGAATCTTCAACAGCGCCTACGATCTCCCGAAATCCGAGGGCGCCAGTGACCAGATTTCCAGCTGCTGCACCAGAAAAGAAGGATTTGGAATCATCAAGTGCCGCCTCATCAACGCATTCTAGAGGGCTGAAGTTCCCTCGAGGTGTCGTCAAGAAGACTTGGGCGCTCGGTCAACCCAGACAAGATGATGACATCAAGATCGAGGAAGTATTGCAGAAAGATGACTTGGAACTTGCTGTTCTGAGTTCTTACCAATGGGACGAGGACTGGCTCATGTCGAAGTTGAATTTTCGCAAGACCAAGGTTGTTTTGATTGCTTTCGCCGCTGATGAGGCCACCGTAAGTGACCATTGTCAAGATTTCTGACCCTAGGCTAACCCTCTGAAAGAGGGAAGCCATGCGTTCTAATGTGCCAGCGAATGTCATCCGCTTTTGCTTTCCACCTATGGAAGGCGCAGATCGCATGCATTCGAAGCTGCAGCTTTTAAAATATCCCAACTACTTGCGGATTGTCGTACCCACGGGGAACTTTATGCCCTACGATTGGGGCGAGACCGGAGCCATGGAAAATGTATGAACCAAATTACCATGCATTACATTACTTCGCTGACGTATGACGCACAGATGGCTTTCATCATTGACCTCCCACGCATTGAAGATGAGGTTGAGCGTGTAGCCAATGAGCTCACAGCTTTTGGTAATGAGCTGTGTTACTTTCTCAAGGCTCAAGGGCTCGAGGAACAGATGATCAGAAGCCTGCGAAACTACGACTTCTCTGAAACAGCTCGCTACGGGTTTGTACATACCATGTGAGCATGCCTACATGAGTGGATTATGCTTTTTTATTCACAGCATTTTAGTGGAGGATCCCATTTGAACGACTGGCAACGGACTGGTACGTTAATGGTATATATTATCAAAATTCCTCATACTAAAGCTTGCGAAGGATATTGTGGTCTAGGCCGTACAATCTCTTCACTTGGTCTCGCCACCGGCAACCAGAATGAGATTGATTATGTGGTATGAGAACCAACTCGGAACATCTTAAGTTGATAGCTGACAAATGGCGCTGAAGTGTTCCTCGATTGGAGCTATCAATGACAGTCTTCTCACGGCCTTGCAAAATGCCAGTCAGGGTAAGTATTCGAAGCACAGCCCTTACAATGCTGAAAATACTAAGTTTTGGTCGTGAATCTAGGCGACTCCGGTTTGAAGGAATTCAACTCGAGGACAACCAAAGGAAAGAAGAACAAGGATGAGAATGACTCTGCAAGACAGTCTCATGGTGTGCGAGAAATGTTTCGAATTTACTTTCCTACTCACGAGACGGTCATTCAAAGCAGAGGAGGCAAGAATGTAGGTGTATCACTGGAGCTTAATGGCAGTATGCTTATATCATTGTTCCTTTTATAGGCTGCTGGAATCATAACCATGGCTGCACGCTCTTGGAACCTGTCAACATTTCCTCGAGATGCTTTCCGGGACTGCAAGAATGTTCGACCAGGCTTGCTAATCCACAGCAAGGTGATGTTCGCCCGGAGGCAGCCTTCAGAAGCGGGCGAGAGCCTAGGCTGGGCTTATGTCGGCAGCGCGAATCTCTCTGAAAGTGCGTGGTGAGTATCAAGCCATCCTTATCTTCGATCTAGCCCTCGTTGTCGCATTTCTTCATATCAGAGGTCATTCACATTCATGGCCTAGACTAATGGCTAATATCGAATGACTCAAGGGGCCGTCTAGTCAAAGACAGGGCAACAAGTAAGCCTAAGCTGAATTGTCGGAACTGGGAGTGCGGAGTTGTGATACCCGTGTCATCTCTGTCCACCGAGGACATTCGAACTACGCTGAGAGGCGAGCATCCTCGGATGCTGGATATTTTCCATGGCCATGTCCCTATACCGATAGAACTCCCAGGTGTCCGATACGGTTCTGGCAGCCAGCATCGACCGTGGTTGTTCAATGACTAGGTAGGCAGTTGTCATCTCCAACTACCGGCTTCTTCCTCTCCCGCCCTCCGTCCTTGAAGACAATGAGACAAATCACTTTTCAGCCTGAGACAACACAACTTCGCATGGCAATTCTATTCTGGGATAAATACGGCGAGAATAGTGGATGGCTTCTGTATAGTCTACTCTGGAGCGACTCAAAGCACCAGTAGGACGCCGGTCTGTGGGGTTGTTGTCTGGTGGCTGCTGTCACAGATCTCCACCAAAGATTTAGTCTCGCGCTATCTTCGAAGGGACCCAGGAGACCAGGGTGTGCCCTTGCGTGTTGCACAGACGCAGGAAGCGGACCATATTTGTCACGAACGTCAACACACCTCTCACACCCGATCCGGATCTGAAGACAGGGCCGTTTCTCCGAGCCTGCGTCGGCGAATTGCGGTCCGACTGAAAGGGGCCTTTTCCGTGGATCCTTGGAAGATCTTGTACGCTTTACATACGAGAATATATGAAATATCGCTCTCGGTCTTATTGACTTCCAATCATGACGGACCTCATACAATGTTATGTGTTGCATTAGATGACAGCGCCAAGTGTGTGGTTCTCAAGCCAGAGGACGGCCTGGCGCTAGATCATACTCTTCCATCGACCCTTGTGACCCCTCCGATGACTCGCTCCATCATTAGCAGGCGCCAATGATGGCGAAGATCCGTCATCGATAGGTTTGCGGCACGAGGCTGATGAGTGAGCCTCATTACCTTACAGTGCCTTCCTGATTGGAAGGCTCCCTGATGTCCAAGCGAGGATGGATTGAGTGATGTTAGTGATATGAAAACTGCTTCCTCTCCTGTAGTTCAGCATTGTTTTGCCGCATACCACATTCCCGACTATAGGTATCCCATAATTCAACAAGCATGTTTCATGATTGTTACACTGCGTCCTCTTACAGCCGTTGGGAATTGGTTTAGGGAGGGGTCATGTTCATGGCTAAGACAGTCTTCTGGTTTCCGTGGTACCTACCTTGCTTTGTAGAGCAGCCACACCATCAAGCACTCCGCTCTCTCGTACGAAACACCTTCGACTGACAGCTGCTCGAGGCCGATGGATGCCTGCTAGTGCACAAATCTCCAGCGGGCATTCGACACTAAGGAGCCCCCGAACCGGTGCTAAGCGGTCCGCCCAGCACAAGCTGGTGTCTAGCCGCCAGCTACAGCGTAGTAGGCATTGGAGTGGATGCGGCTACGCAGCGCGGCCTGTCCGGATGGCACGACTGCCGTTATCCCTGTGCTGGCAACTTCAGGATACGGCCGCGGTCATCCGAAAAGCGACGGAAATCAGGCAAACACAGCGACATGTCACTGTTGCGCGTTTCCTCTTTTGCAGAGTGTGGGCCAAGTTCAAGTGGACCCGTTTAGCATACTGGTTGCTGATAGTCACGGTCATATTGCTGGACTGTCTGACCTACAATCCGTCGCGAGATCGGCCATCTTTGCAAGTCAGGGACTCCTGTTCGTACTAGAATATCGACGCCGGACACAGTTCTCAGGTCTAGGCCATTCGCATAATCACACTGCAACGTAAGATATGAAAAGCGGGGGGCTATCAGAGATGCTTTCGGAAAGTTAAAGCGTCTGAGACAGTGCCCGTTCTACCGGTCCGCAGGGGCGATCGCTGCTCTCTTGCGTAGAAACGATGATGGGGTCACTTGCAGACGGTCGTCGCCTGATGCTACCGTGGAGCAGCCTCTCGCGGTCCAATGACGATGGGGAGAACTCAGGGCCTTTTTGCCTCATGGTATGTCCTTAAAGAGAGTGAAGTCTGCTTGCGGCGTGCTGTGCAGTTGGAAGAAGACGACTAAGCTAACCCGCTAGCGCCATCCGGACCCAAACCTAAACTGCCTTATCCGGCCAGTGACTTTGTGGTGCTTGGATTCTTGGCGGGCGATCTTGAATCAGGTACCTTACCTGATCTTGCATATGTGCATATTTCGCTGGCTAACATTGCGCTACCGAAGTAGACCCCTCCACCCAGGTGTCTCAGAGGGCTAGCGTGGCAGGCGGGGGTTGTCGGATCCGGATGAGGTATGCTTGACTGCCATTGGACCTCTCTTTGAGCACTACAACATCACCACAACTGCAACAACCACAGAGATTTGCCTTATCGACTCGCTCATCCTGCGATTCTCTCTGGGAGGGGATCAAGGTTGCGGAACGCACACGGCTCGCGGTCGCGCTAGGATATGGAGCTGCGATGGAGCAACAGCACGGCCAGGTTGATGACTACATGCTCCTACAACGTCGATTAAGGTTTCTTGACTGTGGGTCAGGGCGTCCGAGCTGCCAAACCAGGCCTGGGAGCTAGGTCAAATGCAGGGGAGACAGAGATTCTGAAGGTCGTCTGGACCATTCTGAACCGGGGTCCATGACGATCAGGCAGGGAACTTCCCAGGGCAGATGCACCCTGGTGGTCCCTGCCTGCAGCTGCTGTCATCCATGTTCGAAAACGCCATACTGCGCTGTGCGCCCGTCACCAGCTCCAGCTCCATCTCCATCTCCATGATGGGCCCTCAATCCTCGAGCCCACTGAGAAGCCACCGTATCCACCCCCTCACTTTCCAATCGTAAGCGGGGATATAGGTGTGAGTGGCGCTCGCTGCAGCCCGTCGTCCGCCGGCGGCGCTGCCGAATCGCTGCTAAGTGGCATTGGTCGTCTTCTACTCCTGTAGTCGCAGTCGAGCTCGTGATCTGGAAGTTCCTTTGGCAGCTAAGGCACGATTAGTATCAAGATATGATCATACACGCTCAGTGGTCGGTGTCCGAGGCGATTTCGATGCTGCCAATCATCTAGCATTTCCGTTCTGCATCCGGGGCCACTCCTTCTATGCCAGATTCACATCTCACATATTCAGCAGGCTTGACACTGGCTAGTTTATCTCCAGCAAGAGCTCGCTTCTCTTAGCACTCAGATAACTGGCCATGATCGACAGATGATGGGGCGAAACTACAGGTCAATTCAGACAAGTGTCCAAAGATGGCTAGTTGCGATCTGATATCTTGAGAACAGTTGCTGGTTTCTGTGTCTCGTGGACACTTTAGGACCTACTCGGTGCCTGAATGCGCCCCTCACCCTTAACCGGCCTCCTAGTCTAATCAGGTAAAAGAAGATTCTTGATCTACCTTCGCAACCGTCAGAGTATATTCTCTACAGGCGGACCGTCAACGCAAACGCTTTATGGTCCACGCGTCTTTCTTTAAACACATGGAAAGGCCCGTTGGCAGAAGTCTGTGCTGTTCAAGCTTCTATGTGTGAAAGACGAGCAAGGGACAGGGACCAACCTTATTAAACGGCCAACTGTCAAATCTGCATACATTAGTCGACCGTTCTGCTGCCATGCACGAGAGATCGATCGCCTAGCTGAAGGTGGTCTGGGGGTCCAATCCCACTACACCCACACCAGATACAGCGGCTCGTTGCAAGCGTCTCCTCGATGCCTCACATCCTTGCCGAAGCGACGGTCACTAATGAACACACCACCCTTCATGGCGCATATCAAGACGGCTTCTACAGTGATGACGTCGTCGTACGAGAATTAGGGCACAAGACTTCATCTAGGACCCCAGAAGTGACCGTCACAGATTGCTCTTCACTACGGTATTTAAACATAAGCGAGGCAGTCAATGATTTGCTATATCCTGAGGGTCAGGCGAGTCACTCAAGCCAAGTACACTTGAACATGCTTGTTGGCTGTCGGATGTTGCAAGTGCGCCTACAATCGTTTGCGATCATGTATCGCGTGGGGTAAATAGCGGTGGGAAGGAATGGCATCCTTGTCAATGACTGAGACTTTGTACAGCTGAGGAAGGATGTGTTAAAACTGGATTTGACCAAGGACGAAGATACATCGAATGCGCGAATCGCGAGGTGGCAGTTCGCTAACTACTCTGCAACCTTCTTTGACAAACCCTTCAACCGCTACCAAGACCTGGGCCCCGTTTTCTTCACTCAAGCCTGCCAAAGGTGTCAGTGTGCCGAGAAGAAACTCTCAACATCACAGAAGATTATCGTGTGGCAGATGCGCACATTTTCTCCATCCACAACCTGCATTGGCTAGACCAGCATTTACGCCCCATCATGCTATTCTTACGGCTCACAGTCATGGCTAATCTGCTCAGTCAAAAGACGTCTTGACGGAACAACAGCCCCGTGAGCAAGAACCATCTTGGCCCCTCACAATACCCTCAAGCACCTGACTCACGCATCATTCAGCACCCGTATCCGAAGACGGGCAGTATAGGAGCCACCAGGGAAGAACCACAGGCCAATGACCTTGTAATGTGTGCCGCGGAGGAAACCGTAGTGGATCGTGCTGTTCAGTGCACTGGATGTGAGAGGGATCTCTACAGTTGAGTAGTGAAAGGGAGCACCCAACAGCCTCTTGTCCAAGTCTCCCCAGATTCACTTATACAGCTCGTTGTCGTCACCTGGCACGACCACTTGTAAGTCGAGCCACTTAGAGGCTTAGACAGTCACATTAGGCCGAGTATTCTGTGGCACCTCTGTGTACCCACATGCTAGTGTGCGCCACACCCCCTTTCTGCCATCATTATTCACATAAAGGGACGAGACCTCCATTTACGTAATATTCAAGTGCTGTTTTCCGGGTTGCCAATGAGGCATCGGCTCTTGCTCGATTCGAATTTTTTTTGTCTGTGCGGAAATCTGCTCATGAGAGCATGGGGAGCATGCCTAACGCTGCTGCTGGTAGAGTGAGTGGTGGTCATCATATCAAGTCATCCCGTGCTCAACCAAACGTACCGCCCGAACGGGCCACTCTATAATCTGACTTATCTCACCTTATCTGGGTACAGTAGGTGTGTGCAGGCGTGTGTGTGCATGCGGTAGTTATCGGCCTAAGTGCCTTTTTTTATGTAGTAATGCAAGAGGAAGAGTGGCTCGACAGGCTCGACAGGCTCGACAGGGTTTGGGCAGAGGTCTCAAAGGGGGGACCAGCTCCCAAGCTGTGGACGGATAGGGACTAGGCGAGGTACGATATCGCATTGGGGCGGTGCCACTCCACCCTTGGAATGCAAGACAACCAGGTACGTACTGCACCAGCGATCGGCACCGGCCTAATGAACAGCAGCAGGGCGTGCAGGGCAAGACAAGCCCATTTTGCATCTGCCGGGTTCAGTGCCAGCAAGTGCCAGTCAGTCACAGTCGGTGTCAGTTCACTGCAGTTTACCGGCCGACGAGGACGGAAAATCCAGCGCGCCGGCCTGCGAACGTCTGCATGCCAGACAGCCAGATCCCAGACAGCCAGAAAGACAGAAAGACGGGCCCAGAACCAGATGTCGACGGAGAAGGGATAGGTAATAATAGACGGCGGTTGTTTTCTGTACCTGTGTACCTGACCGTACCATACCTTACCTTAGACGGACAGCCCAGGACCTGCTCTCCGGCTTGGGCAGTCCAACTACCGAGTCCGGCCTATCCATCACCAGCAACAGCGAGCAAAAGCAGTCCCTCCCATACCTAGCACCAGCAGCAGCGCAGTGTGCCTGTCTGTCCGGTCTTGTCTTGTCCTGTCCTGTCCTGTCCTCTCTGGCTGTCCGTCTTCACAACCCACGGTCCAAGATCCACAGGCCCCAGGCAGTCCACACTCGAATCGATGGCTGCTAGCAGATGGCACCTATCTTACACTAGACTAGACGCATAGTACCTGAATCGTCGTCGATCGGAAGAGTGGAGGCCACCAGAACCACACGCACGCACATGCGCCTTCTTCCCCCCCTCTCTCTCTCCTCTCTTCACCCTAAGCTAGAAGCTAGAGAGAGCACCGACCTACCCATCTGCTCCTGTCTTGGGGTCGTTCCTACCTGTCCTGTTCATTCCTCCACCTGTTCTTGGGGGAGTACCTGCCGACTGTGACGTCCACCGGACTAAAACGGACGGAGCCACCAGGCCTACCTACCTTCCTATCTACCTTACTGCATAGTACTCTCCACTTCCAGTTGCACTTGCTTGCACTTGTACTTACCTTACCTCATCTTACCTACCTTGTCTTGCCTCTGCTCTTGCCGTATGTCGAAGACGGATGGTTAGGTCGGTACGTACCTAACTCACCTCACTTCCCTCGCTCTCCACCTCATACCTGCTGGACCTAAGCCGTCGCTGCATCTGGAGTTGAGAGAGAACCAGACGGGAAAGAGAGAGAGAGAGAGAGGGAGATACCTCACCTCGTACCTTCCCCCCGAGCTCTGGCCACTGGCCCACTGCCGCCCTACAACACGGTACCTCGACCCCCCTGGTCCTGGTCCTGCGTCGTCTTTCTGCTCCCGGCTGCATCACCCCTACCTCGAGCCTTATATTGCAAGACCTCGCTCTGGTGGGCTTCTTCCCCTTGATCTTACATCAACACGACTCTGTTATTCTTCCTCGCCCTCAAGCTTTGTCCTCATTCTTGTTGACTTTGCATCCCAGCTCATGCAGAGACCGGGCAAGGCTGCTTCATCTTCTTCTACAAAGAGACTAGCCATCTCATCCAACTCCACTCTCGTCTATTACACTTTTACACCTCTCTTCACTACCGCCTTCCCAACAACAACTCGTCTGGTCCCCGGTCAGTCCCCAGTTGCACCTGGAGCTGCATAGCTACTCCATCAAATTGTGTTGCAACAGCTTGGCAAAGCTTCAGTCCTTTCGAGTACCAGCCGGCCGCGCACGCCCGGACGTTGTTGTCAAGGTGTCGCCACCAAAGAGTGCGTTCGAGAAAGAGAGCTCCAGCGGAACTCACGGACAGACCTGCAGCACGGTCCCTCAGCATCGCAACTTGCTCTTGCTAACTCTTGCTAAGAGAAACTGCAATACCCCTCTTACGACCGAAATAGCTGTGCTCAGGGTCTGGCGCTCACAACCCAAGCTGCCAGCCTCTATCAACCAGGGTCAGCCGGAATTTGCCTTTCTCTGTTCCAGGATGAAAGTGCCTCTGGCAGGTCTTTACTGAAGTCAAAATACTTGCAACCACAGTCAGGGTACCTTGCAGCTCTCAAACTCTAAAGGGTGTTTTCCCCGACTGGACAGTCCTCTCCTCTTCAGATCATCAACAGTCCCGCACGCTGTTCAGCCCCATCCCAGGTGCAGGCACAGAAGGAACGGCAGTGCAGTATCTAAGTCACCGCACGCTCTTACTTGACCGCTCCTCGTTCTTCCTCTTCTCTCAGCCAACTTCTACCAATCGTTCTGATTCGCTTTCTTCCTCTCCCGATTCTTCCCTTGGCCTCGGTCGCTGCCAACGGTGTCTTTCGTTTCAACGCTCACTCTAATCTTAATATTTTCCTCTTCATCATCGCCTCTCGCCAACGCAGCAAGTACGATTTAGTTGCCAGGAGACGGGTCCGAGATACTCTTATGCTCTCTACGTCGATATTATAATACTAGATACAACACATACAAGGTCTCCTCGAGCAGCTGCCATAGCAGCTGATATCTCCAGTCACCATGTCGAACTCGACACCTCCCCAACTGCAGCCCACCTTCATCGGGCACATCAGTAGCACAATGGATGCACTGATTTTGTTCGAAGCATGCCTTAGTGGACAACGAGCCCATGTTCCCCGCCGGCCGCACGACAGGGAAAGAGATGAGCTGATCCGCAGTGGTCATGTTTTTATCTACGAGGAGAATGCATCAGGTATCAAACGCTGGACAGACGGTTACAACTGGAGTCCCAGCCGCATACTTGGCAACTTCCTCATTTACAGAGAATTGGAGAAAGCGTTCCCTCCAGGCGAGAAGAAGCGGGCAATGAAGCGTAAGAAGAGTGACAGCGGAGTCGCCAAGATCCCGCAGCCCGGCTCACGAGCAACCTCCGTCGTCCCTCCTGCAGGTATCGACAACAACGCAAACGGACGGGATTTGGAAAGGTCGCTGATTGGATCGCTGGTGGATTCCTACCCTTTCAAGGAAGGCGGCTTGGTAAAGAAGACGATCAGTGTTAAATGGAACGGGGTACCCCATCACCTTGTCTCCTACTATTCTATCGAAGACGTTACCAACGGAAACTTGACCAACCCGTCGAAGCACCCGGAGCTCAGTCAGATCATACCCCGATCCGGCCTCATTTCATCCCAAGACTTCCGAGTCCCTGTCGACCAGGAGGATTATGGCTATGACGAGCGAACAGGCCTCATCACCTATGGAATTCATGGACTTCCAGAGTATGGAACTCCCGGCGGCTCTTTGCCACGCTCCATGTCACTCCCTACCGTGAACATGGACCTGAACATGTACGGCGCAAACCCACATCACTTTGGTATGCCACCGAATTACCAGCCTCATCTCGATGTGCCTCCTCACCTCGCGAATAACCACTACATGCATCCTTCACCAAATGGCTATTCAATGGATCCGATGCGATCCCGTAGCACCTCCATGGCAACCATTCCCTACACCCCTCAACCGGTGAGCATGATGGAGTCTCCGTCGAGGCGGCAATCTTCAGCATATGAGATTGCTACATCAGCAGGCAGTGACCCTAACCTGGCATCATTGGCAACTATTCCGGAGACCAGACACTTATCAGGTCTTAACTATTACCAAGGCGCCTATCAACTTACTCATCGCCCTTCAGTAGCTATGTCGGCGGCTTCGGGATCTGACCTATTCGAGACATCCCGTGAGCTCAGCGCAGATCAGCTTCTTTCATTTGACAGGACACCTCAAGGGCTAAGTCTGGACGACGTCGACCGCAACTGGTTCTCAAACGACTTTAGCCAGAGTCATCTTCTTGGGGCACCACAGGCAGCCTGGCCACGCGGTGTTTCGCACACCTAGGAGGCGCGCAGGATGTCACAGAGTGAGCAGTGCAAGCCTGAGCCACAAGAGGAATTACACGGAGCAAAACGCGCAAAATCAGAAGAGTTTTTGAAGCCGGATAAGTCTCGCCATTGATACGCCGTTTATACTCTGGAGAAGAGAGGTTTCTCTATATCTAATTGGCGCAACGGTGGCACATTGAGGGCATATTATGGGGGCTCTGGCGTTTTTCAGGAAGCTATGGGGGTATATCTTTTGAACAGGCGTTTTGGTAAAGCTAGAGAGGGTGCTTTGGAGGGCTACTTGGGTCTTGAATTTCAAATTTGACGGCACCAGGAATTGGAGTTTGATCAGGAATGGTACTATTAGGGACATACAAGGTGGGCGGAACCAGTCGTTTACTGCACGGCCTCTCTTGATGTCTTCGGAGCACTTGTATCTAAGGTAGCATTACCAACTGGGGTTTTGAGAGGAAAGGGGCCCGGGGGGTTTGGCGCTCGGTGACAGCTAATGGGGATGAGACAAGAAACCCGCATCTCTCTTCCCCACTCTTTGGATAGAGACGTTTATTTCACTGCAATGAGTTGTTGAATTACGAAGCAGCCTATAAAGGACCTATTCTCGATGTGAGTTACGAGTCTCAAGATTAGTGAGGCGTGGCTGTCGTCGCCCAGCCTAGATTCGGATGTGTTTGCCGGCGAGGAGATTCGAGAGTTGTTAGATGAGGAGATGTAACCTAACAACGTTGAAGAGCGGCCACATGCATGGACATACAGTACGGTACCTTACCAACAACCAGATGCACTCCATCTGCCATATGTAAGCGCATCTTTTGGGGGATCGACTGGACTTGAACCGGCTTTGCATTAGTGCAGCGGCTTTTCACTCAGCTGCTGTCAACGCCGCCGACGCCTCAATCAGGCCACACGAGCACACTCCGGCCAGGGCTAGAGATGAGTGCTAAGCAATCCTGCAGTAGCTTGCTCGATCGTGGAGTAACTTGACGAAACCAGCGTTGAAAGGGAGCGGAACCCGGTTGCCGGCGTGCCCGGGGGTCAGGTAGGGACAGACTGTTAGTTGTCACAAATGTGATCTGTCGCGATCTTGAAGAACTAGACAAGGATGCTGTCGCCTATCTCTCTTCGGGGTTTGCTACAGCGCCCTTAGCGGCTTGGTGTGGGCTTCCGGCGCTGCATGAGGTGCGCCTCGGAGCCCGGGCCACCAACCGCGGCTGGCTGGTGCTGCTGTTGTGGCGTCGACAACGACTGACCAACCACTGTCGTCACAAATTTTGCTGGGTAAGCCATCCACTCATTCAACCATCCACCAGGCTCTTTCTCTCCAGTACCGCACCTACGTCTCTTCGCCAACACCGCACACTCAATCCAGGCGCTGTGAGACTCTCGTGCACGTGCACAGGGAGGGCGAAATATCGCCGATCGCCAGCTGGGACCAGAATTTAGGTCGGCGGATCATCGACTCGCTCTCGTCCGAGACACGAGCTGGAAGAGAGCGAGAGCCTCGGCATCTCGATTTGATAGCACGGCTTGGCAGGGTGCACCTACTTACTAAGGCTCCCTTCTTGAATGTCCGGTGGAATATGCAGCCGGTCGAGGAGGGACAACGCCTAAGATGCTGCCACCGTTGAGGATAGCTGGTTCCCGGCCGTGCTTCTCCGCCGCTCAGCTCCGGTCCTTGCCCGCTGCTGGCTTCCGCTCCGCGACTCATACGGCTCGATCCCCCGCTAACCGGTGCGGTCTCGGGGCCGGGCTTGTGGGATCAAACGGGTCGTTTGTGTCATCACTGCCGCTGAGACATGTAAGGTGCTTCTCTGTGACGATATGTCGTCCGAATGAGGACTCAAAGTAGGTTGCTCACAGAAGTTGGCCACTCTTCCATGACATCGACAAATCTTGGCGGTTGCCGCTGAAATTCTGCGTGATGCTAATACGAGTTTCAGACCGCCTGCTCCTCGTCAGCCAGTGCTGCGGAAGGTCCTGAGCTCTCTACCTACGGCGCGGGAGAACATTTACACCCTCCCTAACCTGCTGACGGTCTCGCGCCTCATCGCGGCGCCGTTCGTCGGCTACTGCATCCTGCATGACCAGCATGCTTGGGCTCTTGGGCTCTTTGCCTATGCTGGCATCACTGACCTACTTGATGGATGGATTGCAAGGCGATGGAACCTCAAGACTGTCGTGGGGACCGTCATCGATCCCATGGCGGACAAGACGCTCATGACGATCTTGACGGTTACCTTGGCTATGAAGGGTGCTTTGCCTGGTAAGCGTAAACCCAACACGGGGACTTCAAGCTCGTTCTCTGATGCTACAACCCGTTTGATTACGTGCTTAAGCTAATCCCGCTGTGTGTGTTTCAGTGTGGCTGGCCGCCATAATCCTCGGGAGAGATGTGGGCCTGGGCATCGCTGCCATCTACTACCGCTGGATCTCCCTGCCGCCGCCAAAGACGTTTGTCCGCTACTGGGACTTCTCTCTGCCTTCTGCGGAGGTGCATCCTACTACCATCAGCAAGTACAACACGTTCTTGCAGCTGGCGCTGATGGGCCTGACTACCATGGCGCCCGTGGTCCCAATGGACATGGCGACGTCATTAACAGCGATGCAGTAAGCCGTGTCCCCTCTCACGCCTCTGTATAGGGTTTTTGTTTTTTGTTTGGCTGGTTGGAGAGCTGTTTGACTAACACGGCAATTTTTCTAGATATATCGTGGCTACGACTACTCTGTGGAGTGGTGCAAGCTACGTCTATACCAAGGACGCAGTGAAGATTTTGTCTAAAGATGAAGTCAAGGAGAAAGAGGACAAGAAGGATTCATGAGCTCGTGGATTACTTCTATAAGAGAACTTCGACGGGATGATCGCTGACATTCTCCATGGCCAGAAATAGGCGCAGTGTATATTAAACATTGGTACATCGGGGAAAAGGCAACAAAAGAAGGGAAAGGACCAGGACCAAAGGGTTAACACATTATCAAGCTAACAGAAGCGTTTTCGCCTGATGTTGATTTATCAATCCTGTTGTGGATATTGTATACAATAAATACTCCGTCCAAAGCTGAACATGACTGGATAACTTACATGCGCCGTGACCGAGATGTGATCTTGCCATCCACCTTACTCCTTAAGGTTTTTTGTCGCTCTATAATTACCACTATATTCATACATCATCTCCACGTATAAAGGGATAGATCTACAGCTCAGCAACTCGAGCCTCTGCATCAAGGGTCTCCATGTCCTTCCCACTAGGCAAGGGGTCGGCCACAGCGGCAATGTCCTTGAGCTTGTCCGCCCGTTGAACATGTGCCAAGAGCCTGACACACCCCGCTGGAGTCATGCCCTCAAGCCGTCTGGCCTGCGCTAGTGACTCCGGTCTTGTAGCTTTCAAAATGGATTTCTCTACTATGGACAGCCCAAATATGCTGTCGTAATCAAGATGGGTCGGTAGAAGGAGGCGCTCGTCCTTTTCAAACCGATCCCGCTGCGACCTCTCCATCTGTACGTACGGCGCGTAGACCGCCTCGATACCGATACGGGCCCTTATCCGCGGCTCGAAGCCCATGATCTCCGGCGCGAGCGACGCCAGGTCTTCGACGTTGACGTTCGCGAGGCGCAGGATCTCGAAGCCGTCCCGCCGCCTGGCATTGTTCTTCGCATTGAACCCGGCCTCCTTCCACGCTTCCGCACCCATGGACAGAGCCTCCAGCGCGCCGCGCAGGTCCGCCATCGCCTGCCTGTCGTCGGTGAAGCGGCTCCACCGCCGGTCCGAGACGACGCCCCAGGCGCGGCCCTTCTCGGTCAGCCGGGTGTCGGCGTTGTCGGCGCGCGTGGACAGGCGGTACTCGCTGCGCGAGGTGAACATGCGGTACGGCTCCGAGACGCCTTTGGTGATGAGGTCGTCGATCATGATGCCGATGTAGCCGTCCGCGCGGGACAGCGAGACCGGCTGGAGGCCCTGGGCGGTGCGGCCGGCGTTGATGCCTGCTATGATGCCCTGCCCCGCCGCCTCCTCGTAGCCCGTCGTGCCGTTGATCTGACCCGCGAGGAAAAGACCTCTGATGGCCTTGGTTTCGAGCGTGGACTTGAGGCTGCGTGGGTCGACGTAGTCGTACTCTACACCATAGCCTGGTTGTAGCATGGTGACATTTTCGAGTCCGGGGATAGTCCGGAGCAATTGTTCTTGCGCCTCGGCAGGAATCGTCATAGAAAGGCCGTTTGGGTATATAACGTCGTTGTTAAAGCCCTCGGGCTCTAGCCAGACAATGTGCCCCTGGCGGTCTCCGAATTTGATGATCTTTGACTCTAGAGACGGGCAGTATCGGGGACCTTTGACGGACTCTCGAATGTGTATTGTCTTGTCAAGATTGGCCCGCACGACATCATGCGTCGCATTGTTCGTGTAGGTTGCATGGCACAGCAGCTGCTCCTCGGCACCCACTGTGTCGTTCATGTAGCTGAAGGGTACCGGAGGTTCGTCGCCAGGCTGCTCTTCAAGAATAGAGAAGTTGATGCTACCTTTTGCGAGTCGTGGTGGTGTGCCCGTCTTTAATCTCCCAAGCTTGAAGCCCGCGTCTCTTAGAGATTTGCTCAGGCCAAAAGTGGCGTCTTCTCCTATACGGCCGGACGGGTAGGCCTCCAGCCCGATGTGTATCTCTCCCCCCAGAAATGTTCCCGTTGTGATAACAACTGCTTTTGTTGGTAGGATCTCGCCTGACTCCAGTCGAACGCCAGTAATTTTGCTCTTCGCTCCATCTGATGTCTCGTGGTTATCTGCAATGACAATGTCGGACACACTGCCTAGCACAACGGACAGGTTCGGGTAGTTCTCCAATTCCTCCCTCATATGCTTCTTGTATAGCGCTCGGTCGATCTGCGCCCGCGGACCCCAGACCGCTGGGCCCTTCTTCTTATTGAGGACTTTGAATTGTACCGCCGACCTGTCTATCGTCCGCCCGGCAAGTCCATCCAGGGCATCAATCTCTCGGATAATGGTGCCCTTCCCTATGCCGCCGAAACTGGGATTGCAGGAGCAGGTGCCCAGGTTGTCGAGCTTTGGTGTCACTAGGGCCGTCCTTACGCCAGCTCTCGCAGCTGCAGCGCATGCTTCCGATCCGGCATGGCCGCCTCCGATTACCACGACATCGAATGGCCTGTTCCGTGTAAGTTATGTCGAACCGCAATGGTCGTCTGGTAAGAAAACACACCTCAGATCCTGCGCGACAGTCGCGAAGCCCCGTGCGCGGGTTGCGCGACCTGCTCGTCGTGCAAACAGCCTTGACTGCCGCCAAAGGGCTGCCGATCCCCACGTTTCATTCATGATTAAGATGGTTGGCGATCTCATGCGCGGAAAAAACCATCGTGAGGTTGAGTGGCAAGCGTAGAGATTCGCGAAAGTCCAGGACTCCTGAAATTTCCGATAAGATAAGGCTATCTCCACACCCTGGCGCAACGCCAAATCTTTAGCTTACACCTCAGTGGTCAGTGAATAGCGAAATAAGTTGAGCCGTCTCTCTGGCTGACCGTACACCGTTAATGGATTCAGGGTGCATCCAGTGCTCATGTAACCAGAGTAATACCATATCCTCTTGCCTCGTTCGTCAGACTCGGTCTATGTAACGACCCTTTGAGGTGAGCCACAGAACACCTTCAGGCAAAATTCATATTGACTCTAATGGCTATCTTGAGAATCCATTCAGAAGAGGAAACTGGCTCACTTCTGATGTTATCTAGAACGGTTCAATCGGAATGGCCGCGTCCATGTCAATAGATCGCTTGACCAGTAGCGGCTTTCTCTAATTCTGAGCTAAATTCTCTTCTAGACCAGCGCCAATCGGCTCACTGACAGGACAACCTCCCTGATAGTTGACTATCACCATGATGATTTAGCGTTTCAGGTATTGGATTCTAGGAGATGGATCACTTGTAAACTCCATTGTGCTCAGAAATGTTAACATTCTAAGGTGTTGGTAGAAGCTACCTTTTGGAAGTCGTCTAGATACTGAAAAGAGTACCTTGCATGGTAAAGCAAGTCATGCCAATAAGACTAACGAATCTTACAAGTGCTACACAAGCAGAATAGTATGTATATCTCCAAAGCGCCAGCTGATCGGGGCTTTCGACACGCACGCTAGACCAACTCGCTTCCATCTATACACCCCATTCTTCGGTAGCAAGCGTTCGATCAGTAGAGCATAAATATCCTCCTCCTCATCAACATGTAAGGGGAAACAATAAACCTCATTAGGCACATGGTCCGTATCAAGAATTATATCTCCATAGATGGGGCTTTGATCGTCCTCCCTTTCGTACAAGGCACCTTCAAGCCAGACACCACTGTCAATATCATCGAGTAAATCATCGTCATCGAAATCTAGGAGAATTCTAGCTGGTTTGATTCGTCCCTTAAGCATGAGCCACGCAGAAAATTTGCTTTCGGACATATTTCTTGCCATCGAGCTATCCTGTCCAGTATCGAATAAGCTGATCAGGCATTGACACTGGTGTCGACGGGCTTCATTCAAGACCCAAAACACGGGCGCATGTACACTGACCCAGGAGAATGATGGCGCGGATAAGGTACCTGAATAATCACTACCATATGGGCATCCACATCTGTACCAACAAAGACCGAATTCTAGTCGAAAAGTCCAGATTCCGCAGAGGTATTCCGCACCAATTCGTGGCTTTGCAAGGTTGATAATACCGGATAACGCAAGAAGTCTGTCCTCCCAAATAGAAAATTGCTTTTGAGAATATGGCTCAGCAATTTTCTTGTACCATTCAAAGAGAAGAAGATCTTTGTCTACTTGTTGTCTTTCCGTGCTCAGTAATCCGCATAGAGTTTGCAGTCTATCCCATTGGGAGTTGTAAGTGCGTAGGCCATCCTCTGTATCATAAGATTCTCGGCATTCCCAAACGAGCTGATAATTAGTAAAGTGCAAAATCCTCGGGGAGAGTACACGTTCTTGAAACGCCCAGCCTCTCGTCGATAGAGGCGAGTTTTCGATGATCTGCTCTAAAACTGGCCGGTTTGGAGGTCGATAAAAATAGAGCGAAGATTTCAGCTCATGTTCGGTGTACTGCGCGATACGAATTAATTTGTCCAGTTCCTCGACTTGAGAAATACTTTGGTCATTAAAGCAGCCAAGGTCGACACTGTCGGAAAGATCGACTGCAATGGTCAAGAACGAGTTGCCGTAAATCGAGGCCATATTTAAACACTCTGAATGCCAATCTGCTCGAGAATCCTGAATAATACATAATGCATCAACCCATAAATAGCGGAAATGTAGTTTACGACATATTTTAAACGCATCTTGTATGGTAAGTGGCATATCTTTGAATAGAAGGAGACGCTGGCGGCCGTCGAAATTTAATTTGGTCGTTACATATGATCGTGTGCCGCCATTCGAAGGACCCCAGCAATAACTGAGGGCCGCATAAGCGAAGGATTTTCCCTCGGTCATAAAGACAACGGCATCAAGCGACTGCGCATTAAAGAACTCAAGATCAATAAGTCTTGTCGGAGTTGGGGTGACTTTACGAATTTCCCCCGGCGGGATCATACTCGTACAGAGTGCTGCCTCAGGCGGAGATGGACCGGTATACCCCTTTGATGTGGCCTCAGCCTCATATATTGACTTGCAGCTTCTATGGCCAGAGATGCAAGTCTGTAGCCAACTCTCTGCTGCAGCGAAACTCGAAACCGAGTCTGTCGTCGTTACTTTCCGTTCCAGAAGCAGACGGAGGTTGGCTAAGGATGAGAATCTTGGTAAGCGGAAGCTGAAGAAGCTATGTCATTGACGCTGTTTTCATCCCTGGGCACTTACCTCTTGCCGTACCAGCCGGACTGCCAACGATATTTTTGTTTCTTCCAAATACTTTGCCATTAGAGCCAGACAGCGTCCATTCTTGGACGGAAACTGCGAGTTCCGCCAAAGGATCGCCTGTCGCACTCGATGATTAAGTTCGATTCGCGCAATAAGCTCGAGTTACTAACCTTCTTGAAGAAAAAATGGAACGCTTGAGCGGAAGTGATATTCTCGACTCCGGGTAATCATCATGGCGGTATTATTGATCGTGCTCAAGGTGCAAATCAACTGGCTGCCCTTGTTTGGTCTTTTCCCTTCAACGCAGAAGTCCCTGGCTTGCCAGATGAGCTCACACAGCCCACATGTCTTGGAACTTTTTGCCAAAGCTTTTGCGCTAGGAAGATGGTAATAACCGCGTTCTATTGCTAATGACTGCAAACTCAGCCCACTGCAGGCATTGCACACCATGTATGGCTCTACTTGCGAAGAGGGGGTTGCTAGCTCATCAAGAGTCTGGATTTGGGAAGTGGAGGAAGACCTTGGCAACGATACTTGGCTCTGTAATTGCTTTTCTTCCTCAGAAGCGAGTAAGCTTCCTTCCCTCTCAAGTGGACTTGGAATATCTGTTGAGCATAAACGATGTTGATGTTTTGATGTAGGCTGGAACAATAAGGAAGACGGTTCGCCTTCCCTACTCGCAAATGAAGGTTTCGCATCAGTAATATGGTGATCAACCAGAATCTCTTTTGTGGGCAGTGACATCTCGACTTGGAGAAACACCTCGTTCTAGGAGCGATGGGCTTCTTCTCTGTATGAAGGTTGAATGTTTTCGAGAGACGAACACACGAGAAAACATGGAAAATGCTAACCTACCTTAGACACTCAGGAAGAGACCGCTGAGGGATACGTTTGTCTGCCTTGTAGTTCGCCTTATAATTCGCCTTGGTGGGGGTGGCGTATAAGGGCAAGAATGTTGCTTCTGAATATCTGGTACCTTAGGTAACGATAGGAAGTGGACATGCAGACTATCGCTTATGGATGTCTGAGGTAGCTACCACGCAATGAAACTGATCTTATAGTAAAGCAGAGAATATGATTATTGGTAAGGCAATTGATTGTGGAGCATTTTCCGCCAATGCCAGAGCAAATTGGGTTTTCTCAAGATGAGATTTCGGGGCTCTTCGAGTTCAATGCTCTAGGCTTCATCATATATCATCATTAGTGCGCTCAGTAACTACCTTCGTCCTAACTCCTTTCTCAGACGGCCTGCAGCAGTAGTTGGCGGCGGCTCTGGCCAGGATGATACTGCATCATCCACCTCTTCTAGGAATGTCGCTGCATTATGTACCGTCGTACCACCTAGGACAACACGGATACCCGGAGACGACGCATTGATGCTTGCGACGACCTTGGCTTCCTCGTAAGTCGCTCCACCAACGATAAATACTACAATATCCTGCGGCTTGTCCCTTGTGGACCCTCCACCGTCCACAAAAGGGTACTGTTGATCCCTAAGCTTCCCCTTGATCATGTTTTGTAGAGTTGTCTCCAGTAGTGGTGAATGTTGTGTGTAAACATTTTCTACACCCTTGAGACCCTTGAACCGGTTCCCCGCTCCCGAGAAGATACCAGCGGACTCAAATATGTCTGAGATGCCGCCAGCAGCGTGTGACTGCTGAAGAGAGGAGTGGTAGGCCAAAAGCTTACTAACGAGATCGGCTCTTCGTGCAGAAACACCACCAGCAGCTGAGAGCAGATCGACCAGCATTGGTAGCGAGTTTGAAGGGTGTTTCTCGTATCTAAGGGCATAGAGAGCCACCAATCCGACTTTGTTGTCTGTTGTTACTGAGGGCGACTGAATGAGTTTTTGTACATTCTATTCCCATGTGTTAGTACCATCTTTGCGAAAGCGTCAGGGTTTTCAAACTCACCTTCAAGTCTGCGGCATGGTTGTCGTTACATGCAAGACTCTGCTCGGTTTCACTAACTTCCAGGAGGCTTTCACTACCTACCCTCCTGCTTAGCTCAGAGACCAACGTGACATGCTTGCTCACGTTTCCTGATAGCTTTCGGAATTCGGGATACTCCTCGATGAAGCGCTTCATGTCTGTGATAGACTCGATATTGGCGTTGTTTTTCGTCTTTGATTGATACTGCTCTACGTAATCTTTGATATTCCCGCCCAAATCGCCGAAGTTCAAGTACATGTTCTTCTTGAAGAATGGGTCCTGGTCTGGAGAAAGCACAATTTCTTTCAACTCCGGGCGAATCTCCGGGACATCACTCAGATCAACACGGCCATTGTGAATCCCTAGCAGATGATGAACCATTGCCTGGTAGGTCCATTGTGTCAATAGCGGGGTCACTGGGTCGTCCCTTCGATCAAGAACAAGGAGGATGGGTGGTGTGTCGACTTTTCTGAAATCAAAAAGCTGGTCTTCTTGGGTGATGTTGTATCGCACTTCTGTTGCCAGCTTCTTCGCTAGCAGACTGTTCTTTTGATACCTGATTAGGGGCTTTTTCTTCAACGACAGCAGGACTGCAATGAGTCCCTCCGTGGTTCTTTGCAGTGCGTCGGTGTTCCACATATCTGGGGTAGCACTCCATATCCGTTGCTGCGGAATGGACAGGCTGAAGGAGAAGAGGTCTGGATTAATGACAATGAAGTCGGCGAAATGCTCCTGAACGGCCTTGACAACCTCATGGTCATCTGCCTCGGCGAGGCGCTCGAGCGCGGACTTCTTCACAACATTGCTGAAGTAGAGGTAGTACTCTCCGTACTTGGGATCCCGAAGCTCATCAAGCAGGAATTGGATGGAGTCGGAAGATGGTCTAACGAAGCAGAGACACCGTAGATGCCTCATTTTTTCCCTGCTGGCGTTTTCCAGGCGGTCTATTAGGTAGACTTCGTGATTGAGAAGAGACGACTGTGTGATGGCGGTTGACACGATGGGTACCGTGTCTTTGTCCAGCAAGAGGATCTTCATCTTGGCTGACGGCGCTCCCGCCGCTGTATCTCCCGCTGACACCATCTTAGAGATGTAGCCGGACACAGCCTGCACTACATCCATCTTGGCAGTTGATTGCGAAGACGACGATAGCGTGTCTCACAGGCCTCCCTCAACCAGACTCCGAGGCAACCGTGGCCGATTGGGCCTACTGCTCTTACGCTCTGATGGCCGGGTCACAGTTCATGCACACCCAAGCGTTGCTGTGTTCTAATATTCGGGTGAGGTTCGATATATGAAGCTTGCCACTGTTGAGATTGAGTCGCTGAAGCTGGTGTTGATATGTGGAGTACCGCCTTCTATGAGAGGTTGCCTTGAATGAGTGTAGGTATGATGCGGCTGAGGGGTGGCTGCATCCACTGTGCCTTAGCTTTATTAGGGGTTACTACCTAGGTAGTGTCTGTGCGTAGCACATCCGTCATTCTAAAAGTACATCTACTTCTATGCCTGGTCGAGAGCTGCGCTACAATAAGTACTTTTACTTACTCGAAACCGATAACGATAAAGCTTCGATGCGGCGGGTACTGAAAATGCCCGCTTGTCGAGGCCGCGCTGCTTGCCTGTGCATGATCCTCGAGATCCCGCGAAGCTTTCGAACATCATGGCTTCCGAGATGTGCCCAACGAGGTCCGAACCAACGTAAGTGATGATCAATGAATAGATTTCTTCTATTCGAACGTTATGTTAACATGGCTCTTTTCCAGTTTGTCTTTCACACAAGGTTTGGTGGTTGGCCAGTTGTCAGTCGTGCTTTTACTTGCGGCATTCATCAAGTTCTTCATTTTCGGCGACCCTCCCTCCCCCGAGGTCACAGCTTCCTTGCGGGCGACTGAGCGGCGATCCAGAACTCTGGCACATAAGAAGTCGTTACTGAGCCTTAGGACAGCCACACGACCTGGCAGCCAGCACCAACAGCAACCTGTACTGAACAAGAAGAAATCGAGCATCCTGCGGTCCGGACCGCCAACCCTTACGATCGGTTCGATCCTAAACAAGACATACTACAAGGTGGACAGCCACCAGCCTGAGAGCTTGGACTGGTTCAATGTATTAATAGCCCAGACCATTGCTCAATTTCGGAGCGATGCCCAGCATGACGATGCGATCCTGACATCGCTCACGAAGGCGCTCAATGGGACGTCGCGACCTGACTTCTTGGACGAGATACGGGTGACTGAGCTTAGTCTGGGCGAGGATTTCCCCATATTCAGCAATTGTCGCATCATACCTGTGGATGATGATGGGCTTGCCTTCCCGCCAGGCAAAGCGTCCGACAAGAACATGGCCGAAGGCGCACGATTACAGGCTCGCATGGATGTGGACCTCAGTGACATGATCACTCTCGCCCTGGAAACAAAGCTGTTGCTCAACTACCCAAAGAGGCTGTCTGCGGTGCTCCCCGTTGCTCTCGCTGTCTCCGTAGTCCGCTTTAGCGGCACGCTGTCCATCTCTTTCATACCTAGCAACCCCTCTCAGAGCACACCTACCATGATGAACTTCAGCTTTCTCGATGATTATCGCCTTGACTTCTCTATTCGAAGTCTGCTGGGTAGCCGCTCCCGACTGCAGGACGTGCCAAAGATTGCTCAGCTCATTGAGTCCCGGCTGCACAAGTGGTTCGATGAGCGAGCGGTCGAACCTAGATTCCAGGAAATCGCTGTGCCTAGCCTGTGGCCGCGAAAGAAGAACACGCGAGGTGGTGATGATGTCATCATCGAGGCAGAGCGGTCAATGGGTAAGGCTAAAGGCGTTGACATTGGACGGGACCTAAGAGAGGAGGCGAGAAAGGAGGTAGAGGCGGAAGCTGATGCGAGGGCGGACAGGACGCAGGACTCGCTGAGATATAGGCGGCGTCCACGGGCAGAGGATGCCTTCTCCATGCCGGGTTCTATGCCCGGATTGAGCCTGGATTTACCGCCATAACCCACGGGTCCTTATGATACACCCCACTCTTCTGCTCAACTCAGTATCATACCTATCGACAAACCACTATTGGGGGGCGTGAAGCCTCAGCAGCGCAGCTTAGCCATCCAGTCACACAGGGCGGTGGTCACCAAGGCCGACACCAATCAGAATACCGCTGATATACGTAGGTCTGAGGGTAGATGGCAGTAATGCCTGGCTTGGGATTTTCAATGGCACTGATGCTAGAGAAGATATTCATCTCAGGGTTTGAGGTCTCTGTGGTGGCGGCCAAGTACCGCCACGCGCGATACTAGCAGCACATCGCTCAAGGGACAACCTCAACCCCCTTGAGGTCATGAGCTATTAAGATAGTAATAAACGAGCAAGAATCTTCAGACGCTATAGTATTACTCTAAATTTATCGCATGAATCGCTGAGCCACAGATTTATCGTACAGCCACTAAGGCATTCGAGCTTTCTGTCAACACCCAGAGGTTCCTATACCATAGAGCCGCGCCAGTCACCAGAAGAACGTAGTAAGCCGCAGTCCAAAGAACATTCCCCTTCTGCTCAGTTGATGCCTCCTGCGAGTAGCCCGAAATCGGCTGGACACGCCCCCAGACACGGGGTAGACCCATGCAGTTACAAAAGGCGTGCACAAGACAAATGGCGAGCAGGCTGCCGGTGCGGAGGTAAAGGAAGGTGGCGTAGGATCCGAACAGGGTGGTGTAGGCCAGCTGGAAGACGGACCGGAGAATGGCGGCCGCGATGGGGACCCGCGGATTCGTAATGCGGAACTCGTAGAAGTGGTGGACGTGCGCGAGCCCGAATATCAGCGGTGACATAAAGATGGTCCGGGTCACGGAGGTCCTCGCAATAAGCATCAGCGGAACCGCGGCAGACCTGAAGAGCACTTCCTCGGTCACGGGACCCTGAGAGATGTATGAGAATCTGACATGTTGAGAAAGAGAATATGTTGTTATGAGCTCACCGCTACGATATTCCGCCACGTGGTCCACTCATTGAAGAGCTCTTTCACGGGCGCGAGGGTTGACCACTCCCTCCAGCCGGCCTCGACGATGAGGTACTCGAAGAGGGGCCCGAGGAACAACACGGCCGTCAACAGTAAAGAGCTGGCCGTCTCGGTCAGGCCAACTGGCCAGTAGCCCAAGGTGTGGGCGGCATCATGGGCCGTAGCCTTGGCGACCCGGCAGAGGACCCAGAGGGTGGTCACGGAGCAGACGAAGCAGGTCAAGGACACTGACGTGATTCTCGCACGGATGACAGACGGTGCATCGCGCGAGAGAGTCGGCGAGGGCCGTGTGCGCGAGGACAGATAGAAGGGCACCACATAGATGAGAGTGTACAGGATCTAAGCAGCAGACATTCAACATCGTGTTTCACGTGTGGAGACCTTGTGACATGATACTTACCAGGAGTGACACCGCCATGGTGGTGCTGATGGGTGGAGGAGCCTCTGCTGGATTCATGAGATGAGGTTAAGCTTCGCGTCTCGATTCGGACACTTAATAGTCCCAATAAGCCCCGAAAAGGGCAGGTTTTCACTCACGCTGCTTTTTGTGGAAGAGGTCCGTGAAAAACGATCTAATGGAAGGCATATCGGCGGTGCATTGATCTGCGATGCAGCTCAGCCTATGGGAGAATTGATGGCGCCTGTGGTCTGGGGCGGTGGAGACTGGCGATGTTTTGATATCGACTGGCAAGGCTGCCCATGTAATAATAACAGCTGCGATACCCGATTCACGGCTCCCTGCAGTTCCCCGTGTGCTTGGAAAAGCCGTGCGGTCCTGGCTGGTGAATGTTGTGTTATTGCTGGAAATGGAGCCGTCACTGCATGGGAGATCGGGATGAAGCTTTTGAGTTTGGGTGTTATGGCCAACGTCTATTTAAGCGAGACATGGAAGACATCTGGCCTTAGCTAGGTAGGTAGATGTGGGTAAAAGGTGGCATGTCACGATGCAATACTATGGCCGAAATGGAGCTTGCGAATTTCAAGACAGAACAAAGGGATGGATGCCTTCCTCTTGCCTCATGGATGGAGGAGTGTTGTTTCCTAGTTGTCTCTCATTGCCCATTTCTTTTGCTTCTTCCTACCTAGCCTAACGAACATTTGGCTTAGGCGTCTCCCAATAGCACAATGCATGCATTCAATAATCAAGACGGCCGAGATACAAAACAACAAGTACCTGTTGCACCAGCAGATATATCTACGCAGTGTGCTTCTAAGTTCACCGGTTCTTCTACATGCACTGCATCTTTGGTCTGCCCGGGAGGTTGGCGCTTTCAAAGGAAAAAAACATATACTCCTCCGCCAGGGTAATACACGTTAATTAATGAAGGGTGAAGATACTCAATGTCGAGACTTATGATACTCGTCAAGTTCTCGAGTATTCTGTTTATTGCTATGGGTTTATCGGCTTCTAGAAAGGTAGTAAACCCTCGTTGAAGAGGTGATGATATCCTTGCCAAACTAACATTTACTACCCTGGCGGAGGAGTACAGTACAGTGACCTAGAGTTCGCCTAATCAGGTTAGAAGCGAAACGCGAACCCAGCGCGTGAATACGGACACAGGCTGGCCAAAGGATGCCCCAGACGCGTTGCATGACGACGGAAATTGCAGCCCCACGCAACCCCCTGCCCAACATCGTCGGCCTCGCGTGCTCTCTGTCGGTTTCTAGCGGTCAGTCAACAATTTGCAAGGGCTTCCGCATAGTGGTTTTTTATGAGCACACCAAAAGCTGCCTAGGATCGGAAATATCTTCACAGGCCATGTTGCCCTTGTGTCTGTACTTTGCGGGCATATAGGCCAGGTCGCCCACGCTGCCACGATATGACAAGGCTCTAGAAAATAGGCCAGGCCAGGAATGTCGTCAACTCGCCTATCTGAGAACTCGAACTCCAGAGTTCACGGTTTCTCAAGCATCTCACAGGTCGGTTGGTCCGGCAGCAGCCGACCAAGTGAGGCCCCCGGCTAGCCTTCCGTCAGGGTCAGGGTCGTTCAGGAGGCGCCTCCTGAGACAAGGATTGTCTGTGGGGTCAATGAGAGCGAATGCTTCTAGCCCGCCTCTCAAGCGACGCTACCTCCTGTGTTGGACATGGCCTATAGCTACGCTTGCTACGTTTTGGACTGCGAGCTCTGCTGCAGAACCGTGAGCTTCAGCGTCATCTTGTTCAAGCTCAAGGCATGTATGCTGCCGTATGCAGGTGGCCGACGTCTCGCAAGCAGCACAGCTCGTCCACGAGATGAGCGTGACTCGCAGGCAGCTGTGACTCTGTGGCATACTCAGTGATGTCTATGTATGCAGGTCCAACGGGCCGCTGTCATTGAGCTCCAAATGACATGCAAAGCACAGTCAAATACAAATAAAGCGCTGCAGTCCGGTGAGCAGGATCTTCAAGCCACGGACGACAGCTACTGCAGAGTAATGTAGTAGTACATTTCCCTAGGTGCAGCGGTGAGTGCAGCCCGCCTACCACGTCCGCGCGGTCGGGGCAAGACGACATGGTGTAAATTGGCCAGCGACGCTTGGAGAAGCATGGCAAATTACCTTGTACTGTACCAGACCGCGCCGTCCCATCTGACTGGGCTGTAAGCTGCATCGACATGTCCATCTCGCCGTACCAACCCCATCGCGTCCTGGAGCTGCGTCTGCTGCCCTCCTGACTATTGCATAGCAGTACAGCCGCCGCCTCCCCGGCCAATGGCTCGGCCTAGCAGACCTGCAGCCATTCATTGATCATCGCTGCTGCTGAGTCCGTACTAGGACTGTAGAGTAGGTAAAGTCGAACGGAGGCAGACGCCCCCCAGTCTGGCTCTTAAAAGGCAACTTGCTATTATATCGCCCTGCCGCGTGCTGCCAGACTGTTCAGGGTTTCCCAAACCTCTTCATCTTCAAGTTCCTGCTTGGAGGCCACGGCATTGCCCCATTGGATTAAATCCATGCGGACGACTACCTCCTCTGCCTTCCCCTGGTGTTCCCCTGGTCTCCGAATGTCCTCATCTGGGCTGCTCAGCCTACTCTAATGCTACCTTAACCGCCCGATCTGATCTTGATTCTTGATAGCCATCCCGGTCCATTAAGAATTAAGACTGTCCTACCCCCTTCCCTCTCTCCCGATCTCTTTGTAATTCTCCAAGCCCATCAACGTTGTTCTGTTTCTCTTTCTCGACACTCTCTCGGAACCTTTTCGTTCATGCAATAACCTGTTATAATCACCACTACCTTATTACCGGACGACGACTCTGGACGCTGCGCATGACAGAGGCCCTGCGAACCCCTAATACCAGGTCCAGCTTATATCAAGGCATTCAGCCCACCCAGGCGCAATTGCATTTACTCATTCACGCCCTTCAAATCTTCTGCACCCCAAGGAGCTTACGGCCTAATCTTACGACGACAAAGCAGACAGCATCGCAGGCTGAACCCTCGTGGACGGTGGATGTCCTGTCCTGGTCTCAGCTCTTCACTCTGGGGATCCCCAAGTAAGGCGCATGAAATCGACATGGCCCGGATCTGATCGTCCCTTTGATGTGGCCGCTGTTTGCAAAGAGCAACGGATTTGTGCCGGCAGGGCCGACCAGCTCTCTGACTGAGGGACAGTAGGGCGGGAGAATGTCGGCGCCACAAGACCGTGAGCGCCGACCACGACCACCGCTGCACGAGCGATCGCAGTCGCAGAACAACCGTCTCCAGATCCGCATTGTTCCATACTCACCACCGCGACCCGACCGGCGGGTTAGCAGCGGCAGCACAGTCACCAGCACAAGCACCAGCAATGCAGCCTCGTCCGCAACCCAGCAACAGCCTGCATCGCAGCCCTACGCACCCGAGGCTTCTGGAGCAGCACCCGAAGCTGAAGGCGCGCAGGCTAGCAGCAGCCGCAGGAGCAGCAGTACTTGGACGAAATCGCATGGCGACGAAAGAGAGGGTGGTTATGCCACCCGCCAAGGGCTCGCATTATCCTCACCCTCGTCCTCGGTCGTCTCATTGGTGCATCGGGGCGATGAAGGGGTTTCAGGCTCGAAACTCGCTACAGGCTCTTCAGGCGAGGGCCCGAGAACACCAACGGCCACCCCTGCTCTGAGGTCACCGTCTTATGTCACTAATATCACGGCTGTTAATGCATCCACACAACAGGGTCCCGATGCCAGCCAGCCATCTGATTCTCTCAGCGCTGACGAGCAGGAGCCTCCCAATTCTGCCTCATCGACGACCAGCGCTGCTCGTCAACCCTTGTCGCGACGCCGCAATTTTGTCGCAGTCCATTCGGACAAAACATTTTCTCTGGTGCCGCTGCGCCCGACGTCCATCTCACTGTCGACGTCTGACTATGGTACTGGGAGCTTCAAGTCACCGCCGCTGTCCTTCACGACGACACCAAGAACGTCCAGCTCGCATGAAGGGCGCTCCTCAGACGCCTTTAGCAGTGACGGCCGGCCCAGCTCACCCTTGACATCCGCTGCCACCATCCCGGACCGCAGCCTCTCTCCAATTACCCCCTCCCCCAGCTCCCCTGGCTCCTCAACCATCCAATTATCTGAGGATCCTATTGCCTCGTCACCCTGGAACTACCGCATGGTCGGTGGCCTTCGGAAGGTTCCCAAGACACCTGATCTAAAGCAAACCAAGCCTGCAGTCTACACGGCGCATACGACATCGTCAGAGACGCGTCTACCAGCCCTGCCCGAGACTTCTACCTCTGCCATTGAGGACGAGACAGCACCGATTCACTCACTTCTAGAAAAAGCCTCGTTCAATTCAGCACAAACCGAGTCGACCACTTCCGAGAATACTAATTACAAGGTTTATGGACACAGCTCTCCAGCGCAGTACGAGTCTACGGAGAGCTTGCCTGGACCACCTTCACCCAGCCATTCCAATATCGAACTCCTTGGCTCATCGTCGCCAGCCCCATCCATTGATACACGATCTGCGGGTTCTTCGGACGAAGACCAGAACTATATCCTACACGGCGATCCATCTCCGTCGCCGCAGGCATCACTAGTCACTGTTTCTCGCAACCCACGGCCGACATATTCGCAAGAGAGCTTAGTTGTCCCACCTTTGAATCCACGCAGGCAGAAGTCGTTTGAGAGATCTGCATATTACAAATCGAAGTCGAGGGAGTCACTGCGAAGCCGTGCGAATTCAATCAAATCCATTAGGTCTATCAAGTCGATATCTTCTATAATTAGCGAAGGCTCCGCCCAAACATTCTTCGCCGGGCAGGCGTTCATCAACATCCCAAACGTACCAGCGAGCACATACTCTCCGAGCCCGTCTGGCCGCTTGCAGCAGCAGGAGCCCTCATGGGCAGCGTCAGGATCCAGTCCCAACTCCTCCTCCACCCATCTCGCCCCACCACGGATTCAGATGATACCGAGCACACCGCACCAATGGAGCTCCCAACTTTCCACGGTTATGTCCGAGAGCGAAAGCGGGAGCTCCCCCAGCGGCTCGCGCTCAGTTTCGATGGCCTCCCCTCCAGGTAGCGGTAGGAGGAGTAGTCGTGGCTGGGCAAGCAGCACGCACAGCCGGCAGATGTTGAGCATTTCCTCGTCCTTGGCCGCCGAGATGGAGCACAGCAGTCACAGCAGATCTCATTCCGGAACGGACTCGATCGAGCGCCCTGCAGCCGCCCATGCACGGGGTAACGGCGGGCCAAGCATGCGCATGGTCCGCGACCAGGATGAGCACGGGGATGGGCTGGCTGATCTACAGCAGATTAACCAGCGGCCATCCCGGACTGGTCTGTCTAGCTTCTTCTCCAGCAACACGTCTCTCGAACGACTAAACAGCTCCGCGAGCTCGCGCGCGAATAGCTTCAGCTCAGCATCCATCCCAGCATGGGCAAAGTTGTACTACGGTAGCGGCGAGCGGCGCTATCTTGGCGCGCCGTCCATATCCACCTCCGAGTCCGGCAGCCGGGCCGGGTCGATCTTCCGCGGCGGCTCACCGGCCAACGACCATTTCCCGCTCAACATCTACAGCTCTCGCAAGCGAGCTAGAGAAGTGCAGCCCGGCGGCCAACGGCCGTTTTCGGACTCGGCGTCCATGGACATCGCGCCATACCAGCCTCATGAGGGCTACCATCAGATTAGCCGCGGCATGAAGAAGAAGACCTCCAGCATATGGTCGCCGCATCTACGGATGGACCGCCGCGCCTCCCGATATAGCATATGGGAGCCGCCTTCGGTGAATTGGTCCGCAGAGAGTGGCATGTGGGGTCGGCGCAACATCCAGGTAGTAATGTTTATTGTGGGATTTGTCTTCCCATTTGGTAAGTCGCAACTGATGTGCCCGAATCATAACTAGTATGCTAACACGATATATCAGCCTGGATGATAGCGGCCTTCCTCCCGTTACCCCCGAACCCGAAGCTGGAGATGGCGGAAGTGGACTACAGCCAGAGTCAGTTCGGCGTCTCTCACGACTTTACTCGCCACAATGCACTCGCGGACGAGATCCGCTACCAGAGTGCCAAGTGGTGGAGGACACTGAACCGCGGCATGGCAGTCATTGGCGTCCTCGTCGTGGCCGCCATTATCACCCTCGTAGTCCTCGCTGTCAAGCAAGGATGGGCTAGGTGACGAGCCTTTACCTTAGCACGGCTCAGACGTTCGCCCAAGCCATGCATAACCCAAATTACCTTCGATCTCCATGTATTTGCCTAAACATTTATCCTCATCATCTGCTACATATGTTCCCTACCCTCACGAGCTGCTTACGGCCTCCGACCTTTTTCCTTACCATAAACTTAACGACTGTACGAAATGGAATGATCAACCTTGTTAGATCACACATCACAGAGAATACTTTCCTTCGTCTACCCCCTCAAGGGGCGCAACCCACACATACACACACAAACTCATTCAGGTCATCGCACCATTGTAACAATTTTTCTTGTACATCAAACATCAGAATACTCATTCTACTTCGCATCAAACTGGATAGAAAGGCAAAGCCTGGCGGCTATACAGGAAGGAAGTTCTATTTTCCGAACGATACCCCCCCCCCCCAATTGACCGGCACAGCTGGCGAGGGACAGAGATCCTGCTAGGCTTTTGTTTTATTTTACTTGGGAAAAGGGGGAAAGGAGAAAGACTGGCAGCCATTAGAAAGTTTGCGTCATGGATCGTGGGTCCCACTCCCGATCCCAAGCTGCCACAACTTATTGTTAACGACTTATTGATATCACGTATTTTCCCAGCGCCTAACGCTGATGATAGTAATCTAAAATGATCAATATATTTTATCAAAAAAAAAAAAAAAAAAAAGCGCTGTCCACTGCTTCAAGTGCGATCATTATGGTTATCTATCTCTAAGGTCCGTATGCAATAGCTGCCTAGCTAAGCATGCATGCGGTATGTATTTGCCTGGACTCCTGCCTCGTCCGCCAAAGCCAACAATGCCACAGAAGCCATCTCCTTCCCTCCTCTTCGGAAAATGTGCACATCTGACCACACAGGCTTTAGCTGAAAGCAGCGGCGTGCGTCTTCTTCGGGTTGCTCGCCGTGCTCGCCCTCTGCCTCGCCTCGATCTCCGTCCTGAGCTCCTGCACCGCCTCGTCGAGATCCTTCTCCAGGTCGGCCGACAGGCCCATGACCGGCTCGCGGCCCGTCAGGCTCTCCGTGCTGGCCGACTTCTTGAGCTTGACGCCCGCGCGGGCGTTGTGCTCCTCAAGCTGCTTGCGCAGCGTCGCCTTGGCAGGGGACGCGAAGAAGGCCATGGATGCCACGACGCTGAGGATGCCGTAGAAGTAGACGCGCGCCCAGGCCTTGATGGAGTCGCTGAAGCCCAGGATCAGGAAGGGCGCCGTGGTGAAGGAGAAGACGAGCTGCGTGGCGAAGTACGATGCGATGTCGTAATATCTCTTTTTCGCTGTTCCCTTTTGCGTAACGGGGTCGAGGAAAAAGGGGCGCACGTGGCGGCGGAAATCTAGCGGTTTCTGTCAGTTACATCCGTTCTTGGGGTTCATGTATCTTGGCGGTGTAGGAGAGCTTACGCTTGGCTTCGGTCTGGACAAAGCTTGCCAAGACGAAGGTAAGATAATAGCCGGGGTAGAAGCCGTGCCAGAAGGCGCTGGTGACAAAGGTCGCCATGCTCGCACGGAACCCGGGCTTCTTGCCGCGGGGCGTGACGCGCAGGTAGATGTAGTTGCGCAACCACATATTGGTCTTCATATTCCAGTTCTCAAGGTAGGCGCGAGTGTTCTGTGCCGATTCGACACCCCAGGGGTTGATGTTCTGCAGCCTATTCCATGATACCTTACCCGTCACGGGGTCCACGCCATTGTAGCCCAGTCCAGCCAGAATACATGCTCCTTCGGTGAGAGACCACACGCCATAGTACTTCATGCGCGCGGTAAAGGAGAACATGTGCATCATGAAGACTCGGCGCAGGAAGCCGTAGTTCATGTATGTCGGGCCAACAAGCGTGTCGAAGTTGTACCAGCCAGAGAAGTTCAAGAACATCAGGATCCAAAACAGGCCCGAAGCTGCCTTCCATGCCGCGGGGGTACCACTGCGCGGGATCTTGCGCCTTTTGCGCGTAGGTGGCTTCTTCGCGGGGTCTATATTCGTCGGTACCTCGAACATGGTCGTGTCCAGCCATCGCCTGTACTCTGCGAAATCCATAGCCGGCCCCGCCATCAGAGCCGGAAAGAAGAAGACATAGCCAGCATAATCGAGCAGGCTCGGTAGCTGGAGCAACCTGCGGTCTTTTTGGAAGTCAGAGAGTTGATCTTCCGGCAATGTACCGTCGGCAACGTTCCAACAAAACGCGCCGAGCTTCATGACGAGAACCATCTGCGCGCCAGTGATATCGACGCTCGAGGGGTCATTGGCGGCCTGGCGCGCCAGGTGATTAACGGACATGTGGCCCATCAGGAAGACGAAGCCAGCCCACGGCATGTAGGGTGAGCCGCGGCCAAAGTATGCGATGCCATAGGCGCCGATGGCTGCTACCAGCAGCGTGCGTAGGCCTGCCCACAGATCAAAGAGGCCGACCAAGTAGAAGATGCCAATACTAGCAACCCGAATTCATCAGCACCCCGAGTGTCTCTTCGCGATTGTCCCAGCTTCATCCACAAACCTTATTATAAATAGATTCTTCTGTTCGGGTCGTGCGTCAGGCACTCGCTTAAGCAGCCCGGCAAGCGGGTAGGAGAGGAGGAAGGAGAAGATGAGCTTCACTGGAAAGACACAGATTTCAGTTAGCTGCTGGCTCATTCTATGTATAGAGGCATGGCGGACTTACGTTCATCGGAAGAGGCGCCGATCTTGCCCGCCAAGAATACAAAGGCTGTTCCGTATGAGAAGTCAGCACTAGACTCACGATGTTATCTTGTTCGTGCAACATCACGTACGTGCGTTTATTAGAGGTAGCATGTTGGGCTAGTGGTGTTGAGGAAGAGCTTAAATCGGAAATATTCGCTTGGTGGTCTTGGGTCAATCCATGCCGCAGAGACGACCAGAGTTCCTAAGCAGAAAACCGAGCTGTTCTAATGATTAGCTGCCTGTAGCAGAGGGCGTGATATGCTGAGGCTGAGACGCCAGAGTTGGATCAATTTGGCTCTTCTCTTCAGATCTTCTGTTGGGGATCAAAGCTTCGTTGTGCGGCAGGACTAAGAAGCAACCCCTTGTTCGATGTCGGAGCATGTGTGTGACATCACTGGGTCAAGCCCACTCAGGCGCGGCTTGATGCGCCCTAGGCCACCTTGGCATGTGGACAGCTGGAAACCCACCATACCCACCCCTCCAACAAGGGACCAACACCAAAAAGAGATCAGATCTCACCTGCTATAAGATGTGCTCCAACTGCATGCCGTCACCTGGCCACGGGTTGTATTCTTTGGTTTGAGCTTATCGTTGCAACTGTTCATCTTGTTACTCAAGACAGAAGGCCTCGAAACAACCAGCAGGCAGCAAGTCACAAGGGAAAAGAGCCACGCAACTAAACACAACAATTACCTGTGTTGAGCTATAGTCCAAATGCCTACTGATGTGTGCTTTATTCAAATATGACAACGTGATAAATCTCATTAGGTTTTTCTTAAAAAGGCAACAAGTTTGCCGTTACATGCATATCGTCCAAGCCTTGCCGGCCGCAACTGATCTAATTTCACACTGGACCTCAACATCGCAAGTCCCTATGCCCGTAATAAACGCCGCCCCAGTGCGCGCTGTCCTCTTCGTCTCTTGCCAGTATTATGCAGACGCCGAATGAAACCCAGCCCTGTCCCTAGTCTATGCCAACTGCTTTGCAAGACAGCGAAGAGAAAGCAAGTGATGTACAAGAAGTCGAATCGGCAATCTCCGGTTCATCGGTGAAAGTTATTATGCCTCCGCAGAGTCGTCTCGGTGATGAGCTTGAGTACGGCACCGAGCGGTCGAGGTCTTCTGTCGATCCCATCTATCTATGAGTTCGCGGCATCTCTGTTGCTCTGGGCACTGGCGCTCATCACCGGTTGCTGTGTCGGCAGCGACATCTTAGACTGCTCCGACTGGCGAACCTTGGCCCAGGCATACACAAGACCGCTGATGAAACCGAGAATGATGGCGGACACGCTACCGACAGTGATGGGTACAGAGAAGAAGATGAGGCCGCTAATGGCAATCGGCAGCTTGTTCAGTGCGCCGACCATAGAGTAGGTAGTCGAAGACGTAACACGGATGCACCAGGCAGAGCAGTAAGAGATGAAGATAGCGCCTAGACCGGAGTAGATCATGCCGATCAAGAGAGAGTTACGCGACTCAATGGGGAAGTTTCGTGCCAGATTCTCGGAAGACCAGTCCTCAAACAAAAGGGAGGCGATAATGAGGACTGGGATAGTCAAGAAGTTGTTGTAGAACATAGCTATGCAGCATTAGTATCTTGACAAGAGCACCCCTCACACATGTGAACTTACAGTCCCAATCCTTGAAGTTCATCTTCTTGATAACCTTGCGCATACCCAAGACGAACGAAGCCGAGCAGAAGACGTTCATGCCCATCCATGCATAGCCAGCATTCAACGTAGACACATCCGTGGCGCCGGCGGAGCCAGAAAGAGCAATCTGGATATCAGCCCAGGCAGCGACGATGGAGCTGAGGACAATCAAGCCGAATGACACCAAAGTCATCGGGGTCACGCTACCGCCGAACCACAAGACCTCTCCGTAGGCGATGACAATAATGGTAAGGTTCTTGAAGATCGTATATACGGGCACAGAGAGATACTGCAGAGCCTTGAGACCGGTGTAGATCATGCCGACTAGGAGAAGAGAGATAGGGAACCCTATGAAAAGTTAGCATACCCGGGCTTGGTCTCCAGATGCCACCGGATGAGACATACATCGCTTTCCCTTCTCAGGGTCGAAAGGCGCCAAGTTTGTGATCAATCCGAGAGACTTGCAGATCATGATAGCTCCTATACAGACGATGGACTATCCAAGACAGTTAGAGACAAGCTGTGACCAGGAGTGGGGAACAAGCATACCTGAATAGCGAGGTAGAAGAGGTTCAAATTCCAATCTGGGCCTGAAACGCAGTACTTGTTTACTACTGTCATGCTGATGGAAGCCATGCAGTATGCCAGAATAGAGATGCCCGGGCTGTTCTCAATCCTCGAGAACGAGTCCTTCAGTGCAGCAGGCGCGTGAACATGTTTGTGCGAATTGGACCGGGCCAGGAAGGGATCCTTCTCTGCCTTGTCAAAGCTGCCCTCGGGCATCCGGACCGCGAAGTCGTCGTTCCTCTTGTCGGACATCTTGACGGCTCTCGACGGTGTGGTTGAAGAAGGGGGTGAGGAGAAAAGGTGCCGAGATGGACGTTTTCGGGAGAGCGAGGATAGGCTTGGACTGTCCGGGTGTTCGTCAAGTCGGGCGAGGCAGGTAAAGACACTGGACAGATTATAGGGAACGACGACCCGTTCTGAAAAGTTTCGATATGAAGAAGTGAAGAAAAGAGTGCGGTGTGCGAAGAGGTAAGAGAGGGCAAAGGTGCGACACTGACGCGTTAAAGGGACAAGTTGAAGATTCCTGGCTCTCTGCCAGGGTGTTTAAATTATCCCCTATCAGAGCCTTGGAATTGCGATCTTGCGCCAATCAGACCCCGGCACTTAGATCTAACTTCGCCTTTCACCTCGGAAAGCTGTTATTATACAAACATAATGACCGCGAATCTTATGGTCATAATGATAGTGTGCTATTTTTTGGTGGGACAGTCTTCGCACAAAATTAGTGCTAGTTGCTAGGAACACGAGCCACACATCTGATAGCCTCATAGCGCCCAAGAGGATATGCATCAAAAGATCGCCCTTCCCCCTTGCCTTGAACATTCGTAAATTGACGTTCAAGGCACTCCTGGGTTTCCCATTGATCCGTCTCCTTGGCTAAAGCTTAAGCTGCCTTCGTTACTCACATCACTATACCGAGATAGTCCTGAATATCATCCAAAAGTTCACTAGTTGCTACTTACATACGTTTGCAAGGATTAACTAGATGATTACTACAATTGGGAGGTGAGGCACGCGACCACACCTTATTGGCATATTAACCTTATCTCGGTAGCTACCTTGAGCATGGTCCTCTTTTAGGTCCCACTGCTATGGTCTTCTGGTATGAGACGCTCCCTTCGATTCATCATCGGCACATCTCTTGTATGCCGAGCACACTCCACAGTCTCTTCAAGGGACACTCGCAGTGATCGTATCGGCCTGGCTGGCTGAGTCTGCTTCGTCATCATCCTTTTCGTCCCGATCCGATTTATCAGACTTCTCTTTTTGACTCCCCGATGCGTCCGGGGCAACAGGAAAGTTGAGGTGTTTCCAGTCCTCCAGCTCCTCCGTGACAGAACGGAGCCGGTCACGAATGCTCTCAATAGCATAGCTGCCAAGCAGCAGCCTCAGGGGCGGAAAGGAGCAATGACCCAGCTGCCACACCAGCTCGGCGCACTTGACGGCGCTCGTGGGCTGTCTATCTCCTAGCCATCGCACCATTCTCTTTGCGTGCATAGCAGGTGAAGACTCGTGCGAGTATGCCTCGCTCGCCGGCCGGATGAGGAAGTGGCCCCAGGTAGGGAGCGGATTCGTCTGCGAGTCCGGCTCATCGCGTCGTACCAGCCCTGGTTCCACCAGCGTGGCCTTGATGTTGAAAGAGTCAATTTCGTAGAGCATAGATTCGATCAAACCCTCAACGGCATATTTCGTGGCACAGTAAGGCCCCAAGCCTGGAACGCCTAATGCTCCTGAAGTGGAGCTGAATATCAAATACCGGCCCGCGCCTTGCTGCCGGAAGTACGGCAGGCTCGACTGAATGATGTGTAGCGTTCCCATGAAGTTTGTCTCAAACTGGTTCCGGATCTCATGCTCATCCTGATCCTCGCACGCGCCAATGACCCCATACCCGGAGCAGTTGGCCACAATGTCGATCCTGCCGAAGTGATCCAGCGTCCGCTCAAACACCCGAGCCACGGAGTCCCTTGCCCGGACGTCACAGAGAAGGCCGAGGCAGTTCTCCTGCTGATTGGCCATGGCCTCCGGGCTGGACTCGAACGTCCGCCCGACTGTGGTGACGAGGTCACCATGTGAGAGAGCGGACCTGACCAATGAGCGGCCCATGTGGCCCGTACCGCCAAAGACCTGCCAGAGTTAGCCATAATGTAGCAGACAAGGAGGCGTAGAAGGCGACCTACAACCCAGACCTGCTGCTTTGTTGGACTATTGGGCTGGGGAGGATCGCAGCTCGCCGGGAGTTGGAGCCGTGATTTCGCCGAGCCATCACCGGCCGTGGAGGAGGCATCTGCCGTGCTTCTGGCGTCCATTATGGCGGCCACCATGCAGCTTCCCCTCCTCCCCGTGCGGCTGTCTTCCCAGGCCACAAATCTGGCCGTTCAGTCTGCTTAGCAACAGGCAGTCCAGAGGCCACAGTGAAAGCAGAGCCCGGGCGCCGATCTGCGGCGTGTCTTCGCCGAGATGGCCGAGCAATGACGGAAATGCTGACTGACGATATTTGGGGGCGGGCGGTCGGTTTACTAGTGGTAGTGAGTGAGTCTCTCCGGCGCTGCAAGCACGGGAAGCGTCCTGCAGCTATCAGCACCCAATGACGCTTGTGGGCGGGGAAGCTCGAAACTTGGGCCTGCCCCAAAAGAAACAGAAAGAAACTTCTTGTTTCGATCGTCTCACCGCAGCAGCAGCTGCCACATGAGCTGTCTCACCGGCAAAAAGACAAGCTGCTGGATGGATGAAGGCAAGCAAGCGTTCTTTACCCCTCTCCGGCCCTCCAGCCCCCGCCTCTTGCCACAATTGGACTGCCTCGAGACGATATGTCCCTAGACAGGCGCAATGATTCTGTGAAATAACCAAATCCTGAGATGAAGACAGAAGACGAATCCTTCGTTGGGCCTAGAGAAATTGAAACAAGCATTAAACCTCCGGCTGGTGCTCTCCACAAGGGTGCGACCGCGCTATCAGTTTGGGTTGCGGGATGTAAGCAAGGAAGATCGCAAGCATCGCATACAAGACCCAATAACAGCAGCTGAATTACGACCACGAGCACCGCACCGCTGGCTCCAACCCCGCTGTACACCTGGGCACGCCGTTACGGGTGGCGCTGCAGCGCAGTGCAGTCGGGTGGATGGAGTGTGTGGTAAGGGCCTTAAATCTGACCCTGCAGGCCTGTAGATCGCTGTGCGCCCCTAAGGAAAAGGGCCCTTAATAAGGTAATCCCCGCTACGTCACCTCTTGGGCCGAGCACGCAAGTGCACGTTGCCAGCCCTGGCCAATCGTCGCTATTTTCAGCGTCACCCCGCTAGCCTAGAGATGGTGGGTGGCTCGGTGGGTAGGTAGTGAAGAGTCGGGCAGAGAGGCAATAAGAACTTTCGATAGAAACCTTTTTCTACTCACCACCGTCATCTGAAAAGACTGCTATTTAGATCTGACATCAGCTGGGAGCCTTTCCACTTTACTAGCAGGGTAAGCTTGTCGAACGGCTCATCGCGACTTATATAGCTGTCGGTCCGGTTTCAGAACTCAGCACTGAATTTGAATTGTCTTAGAAAAAAAACACCCATCACCAGTGAGGCGATATATCAAGATGAGAGCCTACCTATACGACGACCTGCCCGTAAGTGCTTACGCTCGCCACCATCTCATTCTGGCATACCAGCCAGAAATCTCTGTGCGCAACTCATGATAACACTGCCGCAGGGCGACCAACGCCTGCCCCACGACTCGGGCAACGACGTTGTCGTGGACGACCTGAAGAAGCTGGGCGTCCTGTACTACCGCATCGGCGACATCGCCGGCGTGGACCAGCTGGCGAGCGAGCGCGGCTACAAGAACCGCGACGAGATCACCGTGTCGCCCGAGAAGATGGGCGACATCTACGAGGACAAGGTCAAGTCCTTCTTCACGGAGCACCTGCACGAGGACGAGGAGATCCGCTACGTCCGCGACGGCCACGGCTACTTTGACGTCCGCAACAAGGGCGACCAGTGGATCCGCATCCAGCTCGAGAAGGACGACCTGCTCATCCTCCCCGCTGGCATCTACCACCGCTTCACCACCGACGACTCCAATGTAAGTCTGCGGCAACGCTGTCTAGCCGGCATATGGGAGCAGACTTGTGCTGATGGCAATATCTAGTACATCCAGGCAATGCGCCTCTTCAAAGACGAGCCCAAGTGGACTCCTCTCAACCGCAGCGGTGAACTGGACACCAACCCTCACCGGAAGGAGTACGTCCAGTCGTACCTCAACTCGGGTGTCACGGCTTAGGGGCTGAACGACTCCCAGGCGCAACGGTGATGGATAGCGACATGATTTGGTAACCTGACCTGACAGTGGTCACCCACATTCTTCAATGTTTCATATTTAAGAAAAGCCTTAGACTATAGTAATGAGAAACGTTCTTCTTTCATTCAAGTACTCCAGCACTACCCGCTGCAGACACATTTCAGGGAGATCGGCTTGCTTGCTCAACTACTCCAGGACGTCCTCCGTGAAGAAGCTGGGGTGCCTCGGCCCCGGCGCATCTTTGAAGAGCTCCTGGATCCACGGCAACGCGGTCGGCCAGTTATACCACCTCTCTGGCTGCATATACGGCTTCTCGAGGTCCTCCCGGTCCACTGTACCCAGGCATATATCCATGATATCCTCCCACCCGTCAGGACGGGTGATGCGCGGGTTGGTCGCGGCGAACATGTTGAAGTGGTACCCGACAGATGTCCCGCACCGTCCGCAGAAGCTCCGGGAGGCAAACCCGTTGCAGCCCGCGCCGCGGTAGAACCTCACCCACGTCCCCTTGGCGCCAGGGGCGCCGGGCCGCATCACCTCGACGGCGGGCACAAACGGGGGCCGGCCTTCGTCGGACCGGACTTGGTCTCGTTCCACAAGGCGCTTGACGCCTTCGAGGGAGACGTCACTGGGCTCGTCTGCCTGTGGGAGGCAGGAGACGGTCACCATGTACGCCGGGTTGCCGATGTAGGCCGGTGCAAAGGAGCTGGAGGCGGCTCGGCAGCTGTTGCAGAAGCACACGGCAATGTGTGGTGCTTTGGCGATATGAGGCGGTGGAGAGTCGAACGTCGGCCCCGGCTTTGAGAGACTCAGGGGACGCTCCTCGACCGGTGGGATTGAAATCTTGTATCTGATTGCGCCGCAGTCACAGCCGCCCTTGAGCTCAACAGCATGATCGGGGAGACCCATGGTGGTTTAGAGATGGTCTGAAAGCGACTTAGATTTATGGTAGATACTAAGACTGTGACTTTTTGTCTTTGAGGGCAAACATGCTTGTATATACGTTCTCAGCTTCCTCGGACCTTCGATCCGACATCAGAGTCAGCATTGTACCCCTGTAGCCGGACTCTGGATCGGCATCGCGGTTCTCGGTCGACATCGTAAACACGGCCCTGTTGAGAAGTGTGGAAACTTCGAAGGATTCCTGCCCATTGAGAATGACAGATAAGCTGACACTTCAGCTCTGCCACAGACTCGCTTCAACATACTGTTCCGACCCCCCTCCCCCCGCCCCTCCTCTTTTTGAGGCTTTGCAGAGCCAACGATATATTCATCATACAGGGGCTATTATATACGAGCCCACATCGGATCCGAGCTTCAGCTAGACCAACTTTGTAGCCCAGTATGCAAAAGGGGCACCCAGGGAAACTTGTTTTGAGGAAGCTTGTACATTGACTCTATCTGCGATCACAGCGTTGCGAAATGCAGTATACATTGGTATTGCGCTTCGAGATCACCGCGCATAATTCACGAGGAGCATCTCCAGCAGTATGACAGGGCCTTAGGCCAATGTGCCTCACAAATGGCGACTACAACACCGAGAGACATATTCCCTAGCCCAAGGCTCCTCGGTAACAGGCCGTTCTTCCAGCTCAGGACCTGCTCTGCTTGCTTTCAGAGATCATTGCCCCTATCAAAAAGTCAACCCAACGCCGTCTACCTAGCTCCATATAGCAAAGGAGCTGTGAGAAGGTTTCCACGCCTTTTAACACTTTCCAGAACGCCGGTGCAAATGATTAGAGATAGTTAGCTCGCAACATGATAAATTCATCGAACCTCTGGAGCGGCCACTTCGTTCCCAGCGACGGCGATCTCATGGTTGATAGCGTCCGCGCTGTCGTCCTGCGGCCGGCCCTCAAACAGGCGCCTCCACCAGAACGGCGGGTCAAAGGGGCGCGACCCGTTGTGCAGGGGCGGGTACACATCATTGAAGAAGTACCAAATATGGCCAATGACGACCCCCATGATCTCGTCCTTGGGGATGACGCCGTGGAGGATAAGGCTGAAGCCCATGAGGACCCATGGGAGGTACGGCGCGGTAAACACCAGCAGGCCGAGGAAGCTCAGCCTGGTGTCCGGATTGCGCCGCGACCAGATGTAGACGAGCGTCGACGATAGCGGATGGCCGAGGAAAGGCATCGCCACGAGCGGCGAGATGATGATCAGGCTCGTCATGGCGTAGAGGAGGAGCCACGAAAAGTGCGCCGGTGATCGTCCCGAAGACTCCTCGAGCAGCCGCGAGTATCGCTGGAGGAAGTAGACATGGAAGAGGAGATCAATCGAGAAGGGGCCGAAGTAGAGGAAGGTGGTGAGCAGTCGCCAGTACTGTTCAAAACTGTTAGGATGCAAGAGCAAACGCAAGCTGGCCTCTTAGGGATCGCTTACCTGTCCACTGTGGAAGACGGAGCGGTAGCTGTAGAAGAGCTGGAAGGCATTCATCAACTGGCATTGCACCAGGGCGCTGGTGAGCACCGTAGCTGTCGTCCACCATCGTGTGCAAATGGGCATCTCCCAGAACCACTCCTCGAGCGGGAATCTGCCGCCTTCTCCCATCATCTGATCCATGCTGTGCAGTTACTCGCGATCGGCGGTGCCGGGAGCGGAGGGGTACCCGAGAGTTGAAGGTGATGTGTCTTTCTGCAACTAGGATCCGGAACGAGCGAACGTCCCAAACTCGGAGAAAGACTGAATGGCGTTTTAGTAGGGCATCCAAGATGTAGATGAGGAGTGCGACATCAAACGAAGTCGTAGGTCACCGGTGGGGTTGGTCGTGGAATTATTAAGACGGAGGGAGGTAAGGCTGATGTTGAGGTGGCCTTTCGGAAGGGTGCCCGTCCTCACTAATCGGCTTGTAGGTAGTTCTAGGGGTTAGAGGCGGTGACGACAGCGCCCGTCGTTAGCGGGTGTTAGTGAGGTATTCCTTCTAGTTGCATCTCTACCTTACCTTATGTAGGGAGGCTCATGCCACACTTCTTCATCGATCAATGCAGGATATGCATGTGTCGAGGCCGCAAGGAGCTGGAGCCCGGGACTGGCCTGTGCTTGGTGTCTTCTTAGCTTTGCTGGAGGTGGCTGGGGTGGGCCATCCCGTTAATTGATTTTGACGCGTTCAGTCGCTCTCAGCGCGCGTTTCATTGTCCCTCGAGTTAAGCCAGCCACCCCAATTTTCCCATGATACCCTGACGGACCTTTGGTCTCGCGCAACCTGATCTCTCCCTGCTCTTATCGACGAGAAAACACCAGTAATACCTAATTGAAACGCTACAGATTCTTATTTTACGGTTTCTGCGATTTCATTCTGTGCCCTTGTGCCTTAAACTCCGCTGTCGCATTCGCATTCTCACTCTTTTAAGCTCGGAAAGTGCCCCACGTTGCGGCACGCGCGCATTCATTCATTCATTCATTGTACACCAAAAGCCAAATGGCTGGACGAGGACGACCCAGGGGTGGCGGCGCAGGCCGGAAATCAGGCGGTGCAGCTGCTGCTGGGAGGAAAAGGAGATCAGGAGGCAGAGCAAGCGATGTACAACGTAAGTCGGCTTCTCAGCGGTCGCTCTAGAGCTTCTCATTAACACGCGAATCAGCGGGTGACCCGGTACCTCAGAAGGGGAAGAGACGATACAGACCTGGAACTGTAGCCTTGAGGGAAATCAGGAGATATCAGAACAGCACCGACCTGCTGCTATTAAAATTACCATTTGCGCGACTAGTACGTTCATCGTTCCCGGCGCCATGGTGGCCCAAGCCGCATAGCTGAGATCTCGCTAACATGTCCACTACGCAGGTGCGCGAAATCGCCATGTCGATGCGACCAGCAGACGAGGAAATGAGGTGGCAGTCGCACGCCATATCAGCGCTTCAAGAGGCGGCAGAAGCTTTCTTAGTTCACCTTTTCGAAGACACAAATCTATGCGCCATCCACGCCAAGAGAGTTACCATTATGCAGAAGGATATCCAGCTAGCGAGGCGGATACGCGGTGTCTGGGGAGGAGCTGGCTGGATATGAAAGGAGAGAATGCGCTATCTGATCTTTGCGCTTTTCTGTGTTAATTATAATGACCTGTCGGCAAAGGCGTTATACGGTTCGGTCAATGTCACCGCGGTCTGTCTGGATGCATTTATCGAGTAAGGGGGGGCTGTGATGAGGTAGCGGCGTTCAGGGGGAGGGCTGTCTTGAGGCACTTCGAGTTTTCGCTCAGGTCCAGAGGCAGATGTGTCGTTCGAATTAGAGATTTCATCTCGAAAGGGCTCGAACCGCTTGTTCGAACACGATAAAGCGACTATGTGCTGTACAGGAAAGGAGTGTTTCTCCCAGCCAGAAAGCGAATTCGGTTAGGAAGACTCCCTGGCTACAGGTGTCAAAGGCTCGTTGGCCGTCAATAAAACACGTGGATTTCAATCGTTCTTACTTCTAGATCAATTGCACGTTCTCCAAGCATTCAGATGAAAATTTTACAAGTGCAGCCATTAGCTTTTCAGGATGGTATATTGTGACATTGCCTCAGTGGATAGGTCCGGGAACAGTCGACCAAGGATTCATAGACAACCACCAAAAGTCAATCATCAAGTCTCAGTCTGATGTGTTTATCAGTGTAATATGAGAGAGTAAATATTTCTACAGCGAGTCTCTTTGGGGGGCATGCGTCTACTAACTATCAGCCAAATTTTAGTACTAAGTGGTGTTGAGTATTTCCCTCCTCCTACACCTCTAAACTGGTATTATTTCTCAATCTACTTTGCGGCATTTGCACCTGTCTCTCACCTGGTAGTTATCATACAGGAGGATATCGGGGACGCGCATAGAAGTCTCAAGTACGAGCGCTCGTCACGAAAAGTACTGGGTCGGAGAAGCCTGGTAGGTGACAAGGAACTGGCTCTACTGCCACCATCGCGGTGTTGGAATGCGCCATGAACGAGGAGTGGAGGACATCTAGTATTTCAAGTTGAAGTACGTTTGGAATGGGGAGATCGCTATCGAGGGATAGGATTGAAATTGGGCAGAGAAATTGAGGCTCTACGACCCCAAAGAGACAGCCTATCTACGAGGGCGTCTATGAAACAAATCTATGCGTCGTCAATCCATCATGAGCGTGGTCGTGACCTAGAAGCCATAACATAAGCCAAAAACCAAGGGCAGCTGAGATTCACCGTCCCGACGATGGCTCTCCCAAAACTGCCCAGAAGCTCGCATAAAAACATAACCGACATTCTTGCAAACCCTGCTGCAATACTGAACCAATTGATATCTACCCAGAGCTCGAGGAAGTAGAGCTCTGGGGATGGTTGCAGTAAGCATAAAACGCAACAAGGTGCGAGGAGACGGAGCGGCTCACAATACTCATTCAATCTGAAGCAGTATCGTCAAACCCATATTTGAGCCCAATTGCTTTGCAAAGCAGCTCCGGGTTTACGTCCTTCTCTTTCTCCCTCTCGAACGGGATCGAAACTGCACATTGTGATCGGAGTAGCTGCAAGGCGGCCGAGCCTGGATCCTCCTGTTCTTTGAAGCGACGGACTGATTGGTGCCAAAAGGGTAAATGGGCCTGGCTCACTCCCCTTCTTCCTCCTCTTCTTCCTCCCCAGGATCAGGCTCTTTACCTTTGCGCTTCGAACTTGGCTCCGGGAGCTGACCTCCTCGCTGGAGCCCTTCCGTGAATGTCCCTCGCAGTTGCTCCATGTCTTCAAGCAATTCGTCTCTCTCTTTCTCTAGAGCATCTCTATCTCTCTCAAGGGATTGGATGTGTCTCCGGGCCATGTCGAGCACCTCAGCCTTGCTCACACGTTTTTCCCCAATGTCGAAATTCTGCGTTTCCCCTTCCTCTCCACTTCCCCCTTCGCCGCGAATGGTATCGGGTAACGCGTTGAGCAAGCTCTCAAAGCGGGCGTTCAATCGATTTCGATATTGTTTTTCGACAATGTTGTGCGAATTCCGGGACTTGCGCTCCTCCATCGTCTCGCTTGGTCTGTGCACCTGGTTCTTTGATGTCCGAGCCGCGGACCGCAGTTTGCTCATGGGCTTTTGCTTCCCTGTCCCGCTGTCGAGCGGTGTCGCGGAGATCGTGCCGTGTGGTCCCAGGCTAGCATGGGTTCCCTGAGACGATGAGGACGCCCTATCTGAAGCTGGCGATTTCTTTGCGCGCTTGCTCGAGCTAGGCCGTCTGTCCTCAACTTCTGCTCCTTCCGAGTAGTCCTCCGGGCTGGCCCCTAGCGAAAGGCCTGGGCGCATGCCGGACGGCATTGTTCCCGGGAGTGAGCTGCTGAGGCCCATGCCGCCGCTGAGCACTGAGCTGCCGCCATCATTGCTGTCTCCGCTCCCCGCCCAGGGATACGTGAAGTCGAAGCCGGGCTGAACGTTATGAATATTCGTTGGTGTCACAAAATCTCCATATGATTGTTCTGGGCCGCCCTGGCCATATTGAAAGTCGAAAGGATTGGAATGGAGTGGTATGACTGGCGACGCGGAGCCGCTGTAGATTGAGCCGCTGCCAGATGATTGCCAGTCGCCCGAGGTCTGGAAAGTTGGTGTGGGTGCGGTGTTGATGGGCCTGGGAGGCGGCGCGAATGGGAAGGGGGCCGTGCTGCCGCCTGCAGACACTTGCAGGGAGCTGGAAGATGAGGCTGTCGTGGACTGCAGCTGGAAGTTGCGAGCTCCAGCTCCAGCTCGCTGGTTGGAAATGGCGGTGGGGTAGCTGTAAGCCGGTGGGTGCCGGGACCGTGGTTCGGGGCCTCGATTAGCGGCCGGGATCGCGTGCTGGGAGACGCCAAGGGGATCCAGGCCCTCAAGGTCGGGTGTGAACTGGGGTGATAGCGGCGTGGTTGCGATTATCTACCGGGGGTGGGACCAATTAGTAGGGGCCTTCTAGCGACTTATGACGCTGTACACTCAAAAACCTCGTGATTTCAACGGCCATACCCGCCCATATATGCTAATGAAGGGTGCGATTGAAAATTCTCGGGCATTCGGGAAGTAGATTTTTTTTTTCTTTCTTTTTTCTCTGCTCTGCACTTGCCAGGGCAAGAACGGACCGTCCGCATTCGCGAACTTTCCATATGCGCTCATCTCGGGTCATGTTGATGGCTCATGTGCCACGCCCACTGGGGCCGGAGTGGCAAGGAATGCAACCATCCGCCGGGCGCCGATTCGTGATGGGGTTCAGAGCCCGGCCTCTGGGCCACTGACTGAATTTGACCCCGGATTCGCGCAGCTGCCGAGAGATCGATCTGGTACAAGCTTGCGCGCTTGTTTCTCTGCGCCCGGAACAGGATGGAGTCCAGCATGCCACTAGGCACTTCCATCTACCCGAGGAAAGACACAAACAAACATGGATCGGCTCGAGAGGCCTGCTGCCTCGGATAGCAGGCGTTTGGCAGCCGGGAGAGGGTCGCAGGACGAAGAAGGTTCTAGGAAAGGGGCTGGCTAGGTGGTGGCCTGAGCATGCCCATGCTCGCAACCACCACCAGCACCGCCCAACCTTGCCAACAGGTTGGACACTCCACCACAGACTGTCGGCCCGCTAGGTATGCACTTGTATCCTTACGACACTATGACGTCT